GACATCTTTAGGTGGCATAAAAGCGCGGGAGATTCAAATCTAATTTTGTCCGGATTTTGACCGCGGATCCTGTACAGCATTATATCTGATACCAATTGCACTTTGAAATTCACTGATATTTCTCAATTTAATTGATATTTCTGATTTTATGATATAAAGAAATATTTTTCTGCAGTATTGTCTATGAAACTAATTCCACGTTGTAATTTAATTTGCACTTTAATATTATTTTAGTAATTTAATTTGACAATCTGATGTAACACTTTTCCCACTTGGGAGTTAATGTGTGTAGTGCAAAAGACTTTCAGGCTTTGCCAGTACCGGCCAAGGCCTGATATTGACAGTAGTGCAGTTGGAAAGAAAGAACATTGTTTTATTAATATATTTAATGTAGCCTAACAGATAAGCAGCATACTGCCTTTTGCAATACGGCATTGCCTTCATCTTGAAATATGATTACCTGGGCAAACCTTTGTTACTTGTACCCATCTTTTAAGATTAAGACAAGAAGCAGATATTAATATGGAAAATGTTTATGAGGATATATATATATATATATATATATATATATATATATATATATATATATATATATATATATATATATATATAGCAAACTTACAATATTGAAATGTAATTTATATATGAATTAGAAGAATGTTTACCTCCACTTACAAGCACATTACTGGTTTTGTTTTTAAGTTGTCTAGCTTAGAGTTTCCAGAAAGAAACTTTCATTATCCTGTTTTTGTTTTGTAGGATCTGCAGTGTCATTGGAAGAAAGTTGTTCAGCAATTAGTACACGTCGTTGTGACAGCGATATAGAAGTAATTAGTAACCCAAGTCAAAGCAGTATTGAAGTTCTTGATGGAGGATCTCGGTAAGAAATCACAAGGAATGCATGAATGTGCTAATGAAAAACCTGAACACATAGAAACATGTTGCCTGCTCACATAAATGTTTGCTCATATAATTTTTTTTAAATATCTTATATGCTATTTACACACATTACTAGTAATTTGTATACATTGTTGCATTTGGAGTAGAAGTGTTTCAGATGATTTCCAATTAAGTTTCTAAAAAACTCAAAGTTATGTGAAACAGTGCTTCAAATTTTGAATTTACAGTAACTATTAAATGACATTTTCTAAAGAATAGTTCCAAATTTTTCAATGAAAATTACCATATAGGACGAGGTTTTACTCTTCGATAACATTCTTAAAGTTATTTTTTAGTTCTATGATTAAGGGTCCAAAAAATCGAGAAAATTAGAAAAAAATGTAGTTTGGGCAGCGATAGACAGCAGCTGCAAAGAGGGTGTGACAAAACTGAAAATCTAGCCCAGATCAATGAAATTATAAATCCGTTTAGAATGAGAAAGTCTTTTACTTTTCTCCTATTTAAAGACATATTTCAATTTTATTATTAGGGGACTAATGTGACAAAACGTCACATTAGTGTGACAAAACGTCATTTTTATGCCAAGAGGAAGAGGGTGGGAAATTCTGGAAAGCTAGCCTAGACTAAAAAGATTAGAAAACTAACTAATACGAGAAAATCTGTAGGTTTTTTTAAATTTTTATTTTATTTTATTATTATTTTTTTTTTTATTTGAAAGCCACTTATTATAGCTGGTATGATTTAAATCAATCAATTTTTTAAAAAATTGATTATTTAAATCAGTATTAGTTGAAAATATATTTGTATTTTAAATATAACAATTCTCTACATTATATTAAAATTTTTGTAAAATAACAATTACTCAGATAAAAGAACTTATATCAATTACAAAGTTTATGTTAAGTATTTACTATATTTCTTATAAACGTTTTTACTTTATAAACTGTTTAACAAATAGTTTTGAGAAAATAAAATACATTATAATATACAATAAAATGAACAAACTTATGAAACTAAGAACAAAAAACAATTTGTGGTAGAGTTATATACTAATAGACTTAGATGATCCGTTAGTTTTTATCCAGCAATTTAATTATCTAAATAAAAAAACTAATTTGGCGGCAATACTGCGCTAACACACAAGAGAAACAGCTTTAAAGCTTGAACAGTGTCAACAATTCTAGATTTGTATTAAAATTTTGGCTAAAGCCGCTTAAAGTACATCGTAAAGATGAGTATTAATGAAAATGGAATTTTATTAATACTCATTTTAAGAACAAAATTAATATTGTTAAAGCGAATGAAAACAGTAGTTAATCTAACTAATTTTAATAATATTAACCTTTTTTTTTATGTGTATATTGATAAAATTCTATTTTAAGTGGGAAGCATACTTCCCACTGACCGTTGAAGGGTGCAAAAGTGCACAAGCAACAACCACTATACCCCACATTTTTTTTTATAACAGGGCAACAAGTAAATAGAATTTAATATTTCAAAAACTGTTTAACATTGTTACAAGTTTTTCAATGAATTTCGTTGTTTTCAACAATAAGTGCTTTTTGATTAGGGCAGTATTGCACAAAAAGGAGTAAAATTTCTTTGAATGAAGAATGCCTTTTTTGTAAATCATGCTGATAGAGAACACAAACTTATTCAGTAATGTGGACGCTAGGGAAGTGTTTCAAGAGCATGAAACTGTAAGTAAACAAATGTAAAGATTTTGTGGGTTAGGGTGGTATTGCAACAGCCTCCTCAAATATATAGTATCTTTATTTTTTTTATAAAATTCAACAATTTAATGACAAATTTAAAAATTGATGTTTTAATAAATGTTTTTCTGCTTTTATAGTTATTATGGATAAATTAATTGCTTAACAATTTTCATTTTTAAAAAAAAACCTCTAATACAATTGTAAAAAAATTACTTTCAATAAAAGTATTTAAATCAAAAAATCTAATATTTTTTATCAAATATAGAGTCAATACAAACTTTTCACAGTTGTCAGATGCTGTTGTAACTGTCAAATTACTAGACACACTGTTGAGCTGGCAGCTTAATAAACCAATGAAGTGAAGTCAAGCTTTCATAGTTACATTACGCTTTATTATAAGCTTTAGAGATTCAGGGCTTTAAAATTTGAAAAACATTTGGTTTTTGGTTTTGATTATTTCATTTCACAGACATTTTTCTGGAGGATCGCCCACACATTCCACAGAAATTAGATACTGCTGATGCACAAAATTTGAATTCTATAAGTTAATACCATGCATTCCTCTGCTTACTCACCATGTTTATTGCAAATTTTTTCGGTTGCAGTACTCCGGGTAGAAAATGTTCATCAGAAGAGAGACAAACTGCAGTTGTGTGTGTTGATGTTAACATCAGAGCAGTTTCCAGTCCTGTAATTGCTTCTGTTGGCCTGACCGAGAGTAGTTCGTCTGGTGAGGAAAGAATTTCAGGATGTAATGTCTCTTTAATTTTTAGTTTTTCTTGTGTTTTGATGTATCTTTTAGGGTAAAGATTTATTCAGGTACAAACATTCAAATTCAATTATTTTTATAATTTCCATATCATTACATTTAGCATAGTTGAATTAAACTTGTCTTTGGGAGACTTACTATAATTTATTCAGTAAAATTCTTTATTTGTTAATGTTTAATTGTAATTATGTTGTTAATAATTTACAAAATAATTTCTTCTATTTTCGGAAGGCTCATTCACTGACAGCATTTGCACCACCTATGAAACACAGAAGAACGTTACAAATGGTTCTGGTGCTGAAGACCCTCCAGCATTTCGACTTCAAAATGGTGTAGAAACCAGCAAAATGAGCATGGAAAAACCTGCAGTTGAAATGGAAGATGACTCTCTTTATGGAACAGAACCAATTCCTTCTCTTCAGGAAATGTTTGAAGGTTTGGTGTACATTTTTGACTTCTGAATCATAATTCAATTTTCTGATAGGAAAGAAAAATCAATAGATTAAACATTGAACGAATTGAAAAAGTTAAAAATTGAATAATCCCCAAAATTGAAAATCCAAATCCCACCGCTTTGTTAAAATAGAATGCTGAGTTGATTGCTGTTTATGGTCCAGGCGATTGTTGTCTCTTATTAAACACTAACAGTAGTCTGCTATCACGGAAACATCCCATTGACCCTGGTACCTCATTTCCATCTGTTTCATATTCTGATGAAGTCTCTCTCCCTGTGCTTTGCTTAGTGCTCCTAAGTTTTCTGGGAAGTATTCAAGATGGGAATGGAGAAAACTCAACTTGAAGCTCATGTTACATCCGAGTGCCTTAAAGTTGTCGAGCATTGTTTTAACAATCTGTTCATATTGAACATCTTTCACGTTACCTTGAAAATTGTTGATTACACCCTTGAATGAGTTCCATGCTTGATGTTCTATGTCAGTCATTGTGCTTTTAAAACTGTCATCTTTAATTAGTTGGCGAATCTGGGGGCCATCGAAAACACCTCTCACTTTGCATGATGATAACAATGGAAACTTTTGAACAAGATATTGAAAGCAAGAACCAAATTTGTCCAGAGCTTTTACGAATTGCTTCATTATTCCTAGTTTGATATACAAGGGAGAAAGCAAAATTGTTTGCTAGTCAATAACTGGGCAATTAATTAATTAATTTTTTTCCTGGCACTAAGTTTCTTTTAGCCAATCTGCAACTTCCCAGTGTCTTTCTCTGGCTCTGGAGTCCCATTCACATAAGAAACTCGGAAATTTGGTGTACCCTCCCTGTTGTACCAATAAAATTCCGCACACCTTCACATCACAGCATACTTACTACCGGTCTACATTATATTTTAATTTTTTCTATAATATTATACAAATTTTGATATTTTTCCTTGAGTGCTGTAGAATGAGCCACTGGAATTGAAGCAAGTTCATTTCTGTTGTGCTGAAGAACTCATTTTAGACCTCTTTTCTTAGAGTCAATGAAAAGACACCAATCTTATGGTTTGTTTTTCCTAGACAACCAATCAAGCTGGGAATGTCTGAACAGAACACATGTTCCTTTTCCCGATGTCTACACCAGTAGAAAGTCATTCTCCTGTCTAAAAGAATGTTTTCTTTGAATCTGGAACCTAATAGTTCACTCTTCTCTTTCGAAAGACCCAAGTTTCGTACCAAATTGTTTGATTGGGATTGTGACAATGGATGTGGAATGTGATCTTCTAGCCCTGAGAAGTTGTCTGGATCATGTTCTTCTGCACTTGAAGAATAAGAAGAATTGGTAATACTCTCTGATAATGTTATAGGTGGTATAGGAATTGGAACATCTGGTCCATGTAGCATGGGTCTTATTGCTGACGGCAAATTAGGATAGAATATGGCTGCCATATTCTTGTTATAACCAGATACCTTACTCAGACAAAAATACTAATCATCAAAATGATTTTGTTGTTCTTGCCAAACCATAGGGAGCCCAAACGGCATTGATGAACGACATCCATTGCACCACTGTCTTAAATTTTCAACACAAGTTTTACAAACTACATGTAGAGCAACATTTTGTCCTTATCTCCCAATTTTACTTTAAAATAAGCCAGATTCAAGTATTTTATCAATGGGGGAATGTTTCTTTTCTGCTTCTTGATCACGTTGCATCCTCTTATGTAAGAAAAACAATTTGGATTGTTCGCATAGCCTCTTCTCCATGGACAACTCAAACTCACTATTTTTTTCAGAAATAAAAACCTCAACCACTCTATACATGTTTAAAACAGAACCATTGACACGTGAGGATGCCACAGCCCTTCGACCACAGCCTGGCACGTACTGAGGGTGCCATAGCAGTGTGCATCGGGCTGCTTGGGATTTATAAACAATGTAGGGATCATTTTCTGATTTAGAGTATTTGATTAGATGTTTGAAACATAAAATGGTTTGTGTTGCAAAATCTTTGCAGGCCAGTGTAATTATTAAGACAGATGCACCAAAGACCAAAGAAATTTTAATTACCAAAGGTGATCGAAAAGGATGTTTAATGTTGCCGTCTCTTTTCAACATATATGTAAATGGCGTATTTCAAGATGGAAAGAAAATATTATAACTGGAGTAAAATTTACTACGAAAAATATTTTAAAGCTTCTACTTTATGTAGATGATGCTGTGATAATACAAAAAACTGAAAATGATCTATAATTTGCTATGTACCAGTTAAATTAGCTCTTCAGCTCTTACAACCTAACCATCTCAAAAGACAAAATCAAAATATTAGCTTATTACTCATTGAAAAATAATTGTACACAATGTAAGCCTAGAACAAGTTCTAAATGTTAATTACCTAGGATGTGACACAGAAGGACAAAAAGACCTTGATAAAAAAGTAGCCCAATTTCAATCCTTCTCTGGGGCTATATGCTCAACAAGACCCTAAAAGAAAGAGATCAAATTATATAATACATTAGCTCTTCCAATATTGCTTTACACCAACAAGTGCTGGGTTCTAATGCAGAACTGAGTAAGCAAATTCCGGAGCTCAAAGATGAGGTTCCTTCAAAGAAAAAAAGACTGCATCTTAAAAGACCAGATAAGAAAGAAAGAAATCAGGTGAGAATTGAATGTGAAAAGCATAAATAATATAATGGAAATAAACAGGTAGAAGTGGCTGCAGCACTTAAAAAGAATGGATGAAACAAGACTACCAATATTAGCGTATGCTTACAAATCAAGAGAAAAAAAAAGAGATATGGGAAGACCCAAGAAAAGATATATTGGAGACAGAACAGGCGTAGCCCTAACCCAAGAAGTGTAGAATAATTATATACTTTATAATTAAAATGGGTCCTTGCTTTACTTATTATTGCATTTTGAAGTTTCCTACCATACCCAATTTACAGTTCTTCCAAATTCTAGTCTACAATATTCAAGTTCTTCAAATTGATGTGCAAAAATTACAAATGTCTCCAAATTTATAACATAAATTATTTGAATAGGTAAAATTTATTTTAATGAAATGTCAGAAAAGATGGAAAAAAATTATGTAACTATTTGTTTTGAATGCTGAATGTTTAATAGACTCTATTCACTGGTCCTTTTCATCCCTCTTGTATATAAATTATATAATTGCTTAAGATATATGAAAGTTCTGGATGATTCTTTGAAAACTTTAAAACAATTGTAATTGTCTTGTATAATATTGAAGTATCAGTTTATTATATGCAATGATTAAATTAATTTTTGTATGTGTGTTTTGTCAGGTTTGCTGGAGAAAGTTGATAAAGAGCTAGCAATTAGTGATGGTCTAAAATCTATTACTAGTGTTGTGGATAACTCAATACAATATTCATACAGTGATTTTCAGCAAGTGGATCATCGACTAAGACTATATTTTTTACAAGAACTTTTAGAATCTGATGAAGAACTGCTTCTGGTAGTACGGGTAAGTTTCAATAAAATGTTGGAGACAAAACCTCCTTTTCTTCATAATCATATTGTAACCACCGACTCACTCGATTACCTGATTTCCTTCGGCGATTCAGCTTTGCGCGGCTGCTTCGTCGGCAGACTCCCTGGGGGAGGCATGCGTGATTGCCTAACTACTGGAGAGAAAGACTGAGGCATTTTCGTAATATTACTTTAATCAATCTTGAGTTCAGTGCGGGTGAAGCCCAACACCATAAACAAACTTACAATTAACTTACGACTAATCTTACCTTAGAAGAGGCCGACATGGCCAGAGTTCATCTTAGCTCCGTGGTTTTCACCCTCCCGGGCGGTCGTGACCCAGCTTACAGGGCGGCGTTCGGGCATCCCAGCGCCCGGCAGGTCTGGCGGCGGGCAACCACGGTCGGTGCTTGCCCCAGGTTCCTTTGTGGCGACCACTCTGCGGCCGCGGTGGCGGCCCACAGTGAACGGATCAGGCCAGCGGCGTGCGTCGACCGGACGGGGCCTCGACGTCGCTCAGCACGGGCAGTCGCCAGAGCCGGGCCCGGGCGATGGCGGGTCGCTTCGTGATCGTGTCTTTCACGCCCCGTTTCGTACTCACTTGGCTCTTGCGGTAGGGCACTCACATGTGGTGACCCGTCCCATAGTTCGGCTTCCGTCACGCGAGTCGGGCTGCGATGTGGGCGAGGCGGCGTGGCATTCGGGGCGCCCAGGCACGGATAGCCCCGGTTCCGAATCAAAGTAACAAGTGCTCTCCCCGCTGGCTCAAAAACAAGTGCGCCCCCTTCTGCCTCCGAAACGAGTCATCGAGCCTTCTTCGGCAGCCCCTCAGGAAGAGCTCGCGTGTCACGTGATTCCTCCCCCGCATCTCGTATCGCAATTGGTCGTCGCGGCACCAGTGTCTCCGCCTATCACGGCGCCAGCGGCAAAGCTGCGCCTCGGCAACTTTCTCCGAAGTAACCTCCGTCACGTAAATTCTAAGAACAGGGCGTAATTCCGTTGCTCGGTTGGGTGGCGTATTTCCCCATGCGTCACGAGGGTAGTCCGGCGTGGGTTGCGCTGAACAAAGAAGGTGCATTCCTCCGTTCCCGGCGGCGCTTTAACTTTATATATATATATATATATATATATATATATATATATATATATATATATATATATAAAAACGGACGAAGAGAGAGGGTGAGGGATGGAGAAAGGGAGAGGGGAAGGTAGGTGCAGAGCAAGGCGTCTGCATGTTTCTGCTTGTTAATAATAATACTTCAACATGATTGCTATTTTTCAATTTTCATATTCTGAAAACATGTACCATTTCATGAGAGAATTGTGATGCATTAATATTCATTTTACAGGCAGAAATTTTGAAGACAGGAAATTCCAGTCCATTTCCTGGGCTGACAGTATTTTCATCAACTCGTGTGTGGGTGCTACAAATCATTGGCACTGAAGGGTTTGTAGAAAATTCAATCCATTACAGCTTTCAGCTCTTATATAGTCAATTTTTTGTCTGAATTCCTAAAATTTACCTAGAAATCATTTTAAAAAAATACCATTAATAAAATAAAATTATTGGTTGTACAAAAATTGTATGGTATAAACTGTGTGGTATATAATCAGTGGTTGTACAGAATCAGAAAACAAATTATGTTATAATATTCAGAAGTGTTGTAAGTAAATGCAACAATTGTATTTGATTTACAGAGATAATCCTGAAACATGGTTGCAAGAAAACACGAAATTTCCTTTGCTTTCTGTAAATGCTATCTTTCCATTACTTTGGGAACAAGGCATTGGTGTTGAATGCAAAGAACTTGATTGGCACATACTGATGCTACTTCAAGATTCTCAACGGACTCATAATTTCCTTCGAGCTGCAGGTAGATTTTTTCTTCTGTTTACTCCAAAGTTGATGCTGATATGAATAATTTATTTGCCCCTTACAATATCATATTGCTTAGATATTATTAGCTGGCCTTAACAGATCAATGGCAATCAGACACTGTGTAGTGAAACTCAATGATAGCTACCATATTTACCTGTTAATAAGATGTTGTTTTTTCTCCAAATCCAGCTGACTCCTGTTATAGTAAACCCTTGGTTATAGTGAACTTAAGTTACTGGTCCCATTTCACTAACATTGAAAATAAATATAAGAAGATTTGGTAATAGTTTACCTGAACCTCAGTCTCATAGGGGATGTAGGAAATACAACAACCTGGAAATTAATCCCCTCCTGAGGAAGAATATATCGCTTCAGTGCCACAAATTCCAACCCTAGGCTCTTGAAAAAAATGTGGTCAGCCAAAGGTCATAATTGAAAAGTCTCCTCTGATGTAAAGGTAAAATGGAGCCAGAATGAGGACATTACTGATGACCTTATGCTACTAATTTTCACTGCAAAAACAAAGGCTGTGTCCTAAATGAGCTGTAATTGACAGCAATGACTCGCATTACTTGCTTCACTTTCAAGCTTGCTGTTACTTGTTACGCGGTACAAAGCACGTTGAATTGTACATAGGCGACAGGAAGCATTTCATTACCAGAGCCTGGCGATATCTGCCATGGACGGTGCCCGATTGTTCCTTCCTCCCCCTTACCCCTACATGCAGTGGGGAAGAACACAGCCATTTCCCATGTTAAAAACAAGCACTACACTTACCAGATTGGTCATGGCAGTTGATGTATGCTGAAACATGGGATAATAAATCGAGGTTAGCCGTTGAATCTGCCAAACAAGCAGCCACAATTTAATACAGAATCTGATTTCTGCTATTTGAAGGTTTCAGATGTCTTCCATTAAAACCAAAACGTGACCAATGGTACAGCAAGGATGGGAAACTATATTTTAATATAGCTGCTGTCACATTCTTAATTTTTATCTTATATGTCATAAATTTTGTAATTGAATTAGTGACTATTATCTTTTGAGTAGTGGGTATTGTGGATTGTTTCAGAATCAGCATTACCTACATCGTGTGGAATCATTCATGAGTCTGCATGTTATCAACACCAATTCATGGACAAAGTGGCAAACTTCAGAGATTCTACATCTCAGTTGCAGCTTGTTTCCATATTTGATAGTTTTGACATCAAAGGAGAAAAAGGTAACTAATGTCAGAAATAGTATATTTGCTTATATAGAAGAATTTATTATTTTTATATATATTCTGACGAACCTCCCCACCTAGGAATTTCCAAAATTGCCTGTTGAGGACCTCGCAGAAATCATGCTGTTGCAAGATTTTTAATACCTCAGAGCAGTGGGAAATTTTGGGTGTTGAGAGTAAATCCAAAATAAGAACACAAAAATCAATTAAACTGGGTTTAATATTCTTAAAACCCTCTATTTGCTTACAAAATTTCACACCAAAATCAAATGAAACACAACAGATCAAAAAAAATTAGTACCCTTTTTCAACGAAGCATGAAGTATTCATTAATCTCTGCGCAAATGATCCTTGGGAATTCCCTTTGTTACACTTACTAATTAAATTTACTACAATTACTATTTACATTAATCAGTGACACAGTACACAATTTAACAATCAATCCAAATAACTTTTCTACAAAATTGTGTGCAGATGTGTAACACTATAACAATTTCTGTGTTGCCGCAAGCAACAAATTAATATTGACCTATTTACAATTCCATAGACAAAAATGTATTAAATATGGTAAGAATCTTTTAAATCTAAAACTCCTTGTGTCCTATTTGAAGAAACCTTTTCTCCAGAAAATTCTAATAAAAGTTCTCGGACTGCTATCTTGGCATCTCTCTGACGTCCAATAACTCCTACCCACAGTCTCGACAAGGATTTTAATGGATCAGCAGTGGGGAACAGAAGAGAGTGCTGCTGGTTCGGCGATCAGGAATAAAAGAGAGTGAATGATCGGCGGCTCGCCTTTGTATGCATGCGCCCTCCGTGTAGGGGTACTGCGCATCATCTCCCCCCTCCCCTGTCTGACTGCTTCCATGTCATTTACCTGCGCCGCGGACATAGCACGCAACAGTATTGCAAGTTACAGGCGCACACTTATCATATCGTGCCGCGCTCGCTTACCCGATCTACTACAGACGTTTTCTTGATGCGTGAGCGTGTGGGACAAACGTAGGTACCTGTGTGTGTGTGCGTGTGCGTGGGCGTGGGCGTGCGCGCGCGCGTGCGCGTGCGTGTGTGTCAAATTTTTATCCCAGTGCTTTATTCATTCAAATTCAAAAGTATTGAAAGCCTAGCTTTAAAAAAAATTGACACTGTTTAACAGTTACTCACTAAGAGAAAGCCTAAAAATTCCTATTAACGTTCCTTTTTAATTACAATAATATATTATTTTTCTACATTACAGATTCTGCAGTAAAACATGGAGTTGTTGTGGTGCGGACTGCTGACATATTCGTGACAGAGTCAAACCTGTCTTGGCTTTTCCCCCATTCTTTAGATAACTCAATAATAAAAGCCGTGGCAGCTCAACAAATAAGTGATCTAATGGAAGTGGTAAGTTACTTTGTTACGAACTTATTGAAAGGAGATATTTGATGCCTTTAAATTCTCTTCAACATCAACACTTTTGTAACCAAGGAACTTATACAATTATAACTTTCAAATATTATTCGTATGTATCAAATTCAAAAAATGTCAAATACAAATAAATGTGTAAGACACATACATGCATATGTACATATGCTAAGTATATACATTCTTAAGAAGTATAAATACATTCATACTTAAGAAATAATATAAATAAAATAAAACATTTTTTATTCAAAAACTTCTATAAATTTATAGTAATTTATTTCAAACGATTTTTTACCACGCATTGAATTTTCTTTCCCTTAAATATTTATTTTTTGGGGAAGTTAATTTTACAGTAAATTGAGTCTATGCAAAGAGCTTTTATTTTCAAAAGCTCTAGATTGGACATCCATTGGTAATTTTGTTGCACTTGTATATTGTAGTGATATAAACCACTATTATGAAAAATCGATACACTTGTTATTTTCTTAGAAAAGATATGATATTCATCTACATGGGATGGTCATTAATTCAAACTTACCTGATTGTTTTTGTCCTGAGTGTCTCATTTGTAATGAAACTCAGGGTACTAATTACTTTCCTTTTTTGTACAGAGAGTTTGTATCACTATATGGGAATCCAACTAAACTCATGTTATGTTAATGTTATAAGAAGTTTTCCATTAAAAAGAAGTTCATTATGCAGGGTTTACACTGTAATTTTGCAATAATCTAAAATTTTATGTAAAAAGTTATTAGGAGCCCCATCAACCATGTGCAATGAGCATATGTGCATTGTTTAACCCCCTACTTACAGCCATTAAGGTCTTCGTGAGTTCCATGATTCCTGTTCATGATTGTCTTGTTTAAAGCTGGCTAGCTCTGAAGGGCATAGTTGTGCTACTGTCTGATATAACTGCCAGTGATTTTATCACTGATTCAATTGCTCTACGGAGTAGTTTATGTATTCAAGAAACATAGTTTCTTGATACTTTTTATAATCTAAGAACTTTTACATAATTTGATGAAAGTAGAATAGAAACAATTTCGACCTATAACAACATTAAAATTTTATTTTTTATTTTTCTTAGAAAACTATCTTTACTGTAAGTATTAAATCACTAAATGCCTTTCATCTTTCAGGCTGTATTCTCAATTTTCTGTACCTCTCATGCCTAGATGCTTACTGTGAAGGTAACATGTCTCTACTTCCCTTCACTTTCCCCTCCTATTTGAAGAAAGCAGAAAATGAATGCATGGAATGTGTGTGTTGCAGGTAACTGATGAATGTCAAATAGGGTTACATTTTGTGGATGAGACCAAACACAAGGAAGAAGTCTGGAGTCTGGTTTTCCAGACACCAACATGTGCGCAAGCTGTTGTGATGGCTGTCCGTACACCTTGGGAGCAGCTATTTTCTGTGCCTTTGCAAGTGACTGAAGGCAGCCTTCACTAGTGTGCAACTTGCATAATATTAAATTACTTGTGACTGCTTCATATCATTTACATGATTGAAATAATTTAATGGCTGTGGATTACTGAGCTCTCCTGTAAATAATTGTATGTAAATTGAAAGTATGCTAATTTTTTTAAAAAAAAGTTTTATTGCTTTTTGTTGATAGAATATCATTTCTTTAGTAGTGATTGTGAAGTAAGATAGGACTTGTTAATGTTACGTCTGGCTTTAAAGTATTTGACTTTCTTTTATTATTTCAAAAATAAATGAAATGCTCAAATAATTGCGCAAAGCACTAGTAGCTTTTGCATAAAATTGTATGAATTTGATACATTTATAGTTTTATATTATTGACATCCACATGTTTGATCTTGGGCATTCATTATGTTAAGGTGTATCTGTGTCATAAATTTAGACATATGTGTGTTGTGGGTTGAAATTAAATTATACAATAGAATATTCTTTAAAAGAGTTTTTACAGTTCTGTTACATTATTTTTTATCTATTTTTGGAAAATTTATGATTTGTCAGATGGCAATGAAGTTAGTGGTATCTCAAACCATCCTGAATAAGATTTATTTATTTTTAAAGGTTGAAAGTGTATATAACTTGAATTGTTATGAATTTACTCCAAACAACTTTGAATTAAAATTTTTTATTAATATTCAAGAAAATCTGTGAAAAGCAATTGACTCAGCCATGTCCTTAACAAGAATCAAAGGGAAGTTAAATAAGTTTTTTTTTTAATTGTGCCTGCCAAACTTATCATATTTTTAATTATAGAGGGAAAATTATATCAAAATAGGTACACATTCAGTGAGATCAAGCTGTACATTTGGCGGTTTCTAAAACAAATTGATGGGTGAAATTTATCTATTAAGAATATTTTATGTGTTCAATGTACTAATTTTAAGACTAATGATTTTTTTAAGAAAAATTATAATGATGATTACAGCCTATATTTCTAGCAATAACTCCTCTAGCATGAGTTGAAGGCACTCTGTACAAAGGAATTGATACTCATAATATTCTTTAATAACATGTTATATTATTTTTGTTGTTGATAATTTGTAATGTGAAAATATATAATCTGTTTTCAAATTAATGCTCCTTATTGATATGAAAATCAATTTGCTATGTAACGTTGTTAATGTTTTCACTATATTTATCACAAGAAATTATTTCAAGGTTAGTAATAATAAAACTTCAAATAGTATTCAAAGTTTACTATTACCAACAAGAAAAAATTTATTTTTTTAAATCTTGCTCTTTTGTGAAAAATTAAATTTGATTACAACTTAAATAAACTCCATTTATGATGGAAGCACTTCAAAAACATCATTGAAGTGTTGGACAAGTTATAAAAAATAGTTATTCAGCCATTTCTTGTAAAATTGTTCAATTGAATCCTGAACATACATTAACCTTCCAAGAATGGTAATTTCTTTTTCTAAAGTTTATATTTTTTTCTTGTAAGATGAAAATACCTTCTGCAGTAAATTTTTTAATTAAGGAGTCCATTGAAGCAGTGTGACATTTACGTCACGCAATCCTTTGTGCTACTATTTTGCTCAGGAAACTGACGGATGAAGGTAAACGATATAACACCTTGTATACGTAATATTAAAACATTTGTATTATTATTACAAAGTTTAAACAATTGAAATTGAACTCATAAGTATTTTGGAATTATCTTAGATTATTTCATGTGGTAAGGAATGTTGCACTTAAAGCACTTACAACTTACTAAGCTAGAACAGCTGTCGTAAGCATGATGTTGGCATTTTTCATTTTCTACATTACAGAAATATTGTCAAGGCAACCCTCTTTATCAACCCTTACCGCTGAAGTTCTAGTGCTCTTTGATGCTTGCATGGCTGCTCCAATTGGCAATTTTATGGGAGTTTTGTAACATATTAAGTAGGTCAGCATAATTTTCCTCTTAAAAATAAGCTTCATTACAAAGTTAACAGCATTTATGTATAGATTCCAAGCATTGTTGACTGCAACACATAGGAAATAATGCCCAACATAATTCTTTACTTCATGTATGTACCTTATAAATATTCTCATCTGATGTCTTTATCCATGTGGTCTGTACCACACATACTTTTATTGTATGCCTTGGCAATACTTGGTTGAGGCACATTTATAATTTTCTTTTCAGACTGACAAAATATTTAACGGCTTAAGTTTCACACACCATACCCCATGGAAGCTACTCTAACTACATTGTTGTCAATCCACTTGCATTGAAAGATTTCATAATTTTTTCAATAATGTGTTCAGTGGTTACCCATGATTTTTTTCATTTCATTATTCAAATTATCTTATGGTTTTCAGTTTGGGCAAATCATAAAATAGTTTTTAATAACTAAATACAACATTGCTAAGAAAACATTTAGATTGGTTGCACAACTATAAGAAAAAGATGTGTTAAAGACAGTTTTTGAAATTAGAGAAAAAATCATCAGAAACATCATATCACAGAAATTTAGTGTAAACAAATCAATATTTGTTCTTAGTATTGTACTTGCCTCATTTCAGGGTGCAATGCAAAGATGGTCATTGTTTGGTCATGGTTTTGTAATTAGGCAGGTGGTGAAAAAACTTGCTTACAAATGATATGCAGCAGACAACTGATTCTTGGACACTCACTGAAGCCAGGCACAACTTTTTGATAGTCAAATAATGCCTGCATGAAGACTTAAGACTGATAATTACTGATGTGTTTGCTGTAACGTTTTCAGTATGCTCATCTTTTGAGTTTTAATTTTGCTGAAATTACCTAAAAATCATAATAAAATAAACTAAAAAAACATCTTCCAGGATAATATGCCGTTTTTAAAAGGTATGATAGTATAGATTTAACTTGTAAATAATTGTTTTCTATAGTTGACTTACAATAAAACGAACAACAGTGGGTATTGACATACTTCTGAATTAATGCAAAAATGCCTCTTTTTTTTTCTCTTAATATTAAATTGTTGTTATATTTTTCTGTCACGTATTGAGCTTTTATTTTGTTGAGAATGTTTCTTTTACTTCTCCTAAAAATACTTTCAAACTTCGTTCAACAAAAGTCATGGTTTTAAAGTTTTGTATCATAAATTTAAACATGGAAAATATAACCAATAAGCAAATGATTTTAATATATTCGATTGTATAATGGAAATTATACTATAACTTTATTATAGTTCTATGACAAGAAGTTTGAATATGAGAAGTACATCAACTATACCAAGGAACATTTAATGAAAACATAATAGGTGAATGGGTTTGAGGATGATTCAATATAGTGGTATTGTCTAAATGCCCTAAAATTTAAAATCCTTCACTAAACAGTGAAAAACTGACATATGTCATCTTTATAAGTGTATTGTATTTTATTCTTTCAAAAAGTTTAAAGAAAACATTTGGAACCATTTTTGAGAAAATTTTGAAAATGCCTCAGAGACTTCACTTAAAGTACTCCCCAAAAATTCACGAATATTTATCAAAATTGCAAAGCTTTGAGTTGAGTCTAATAAACTGCGGAATATCCTGTGTGGAAGAAATCTTACGTATGGTTTAGGCGGTAGTGGTGTTCGCAGATAGACGGACTGACGCATAATGGGGTAAAATATAAAAAAAAAAAAAACTTGCCATAAGTCTCAAAATGGCATGTTTAGTATGAAATTTGGTAATTTTAATGCTTTGGGGGTCAAGGATAACGAATACGTTCACATTTTTAATGTAAATTGAATTTTTTTTCACAAAATAGCGGACATTTTTTATTCAAAAGCTTTATGATGAAATGGTACGTAATCTAAAGCTGTGCAATCAAAGATGGAATATCGTTTTGTCTTTTTTTTTTTTTTAACTACAAATCCCCTTTGTCAAAATAACCAAACTTCCCACTCCTCTCGTATCTAGCGAAGTGAGGGCTCAAGAAAACGTGCGCGGATTACACGTATAAACGGAGAAATAAACGTAGTAGAGTAAAATACACTTATAAAGGTGGCGTAGGTCCGATTTTCAGGGTTCACTCTGAATTTTCCCAAAATTTCAAATTTGCCTCTTCCTACAACTACAAAATTGAAGATAGAGATTTTTCTTGCAAATGAAAGTTGTTCTCCATAGTGAGTTCTTTTAATACGGTCATGTACATTTTTTTGAAAATTTTAATAATTTTCGCGCAATATTGCAAGCAATGTGCGCAATTTTAGAAAATTACAAAAACAAGATTTTCTCAAAAAAGCTATTTCCTCGTGTTCTCGTAGTTTCCTTTTTGCCGAACGGGAAAGACCACTAAAAGGCTTCACGTTTCAGTAGTGTACGAAAATGGTGTGGGGGAAACTATGAACAGGCGTCATTCATCTCGAATGTGAAACATTCTAAATTTTGTAAGCAGCTCATTCATGTCATTACATTACACCAAAGTATCTGCCTTTGAAAAAAAGAGGAAAAATAAAGCTGTCTTTTTCGGATACGTGTTTGGTTGAAACAGATTATTTTTTTCAAGACGAGACCCACGTAATTCTGCTTGCCTCTTTGAAAGATTTTGATCTCTAACAAGATCTTCAGTTCTACCTGCGACAATGGCTGTGTTTGTAGCCGTGTTACAGATGGTGTGTAATCAAGAACTGCATGATCTTCGTGATCTGTTGTTTTGTCACTAGCATTGTCTGCTTCATCTTTCATTGTCCATTCACTGGGATAGAACTAATATGCGGAAATGGGCGCATTGTAGTTTCCAAATCTGGTTAAGAAACTATGTTTTTTTGATTTTTTTGACATTACTGTTACTTTTGATAAACAAAAGTTGCTATCTGTAATGTGGTCTTTAGGTTCCCTCCTCAACTGTAGTACGGCAAATGGCAGAGATGGGTGGGTTCCACGCAACCAGCCTCTTAAGGCTAAATGCACCGAAAAATACTTGTAGGAAAATTCAATAGATCTCAGCCCTATCACAGGTGAATTTACTGATAACATCTGAACCAATGGTCCGATTTTCGATCTGTACACGGCATTTGACGCCTTTTTAAAATAGAATTTACGCTACGAAACCCTTTTTCCAAAAATCTAGAAAAAATGTGAATCTGAAATTAGTTCTCAAACTTCCGAGAGAAAAATAAAAAAAGTGGGCTTATAGCGCGATGGCGACATGCTTCCTAAATCCAACGCCGTGACAATCACGCAAATCGGACGAATAGGAGCGTCGTAAAGTGAAATTTAGGAAATCACCTCGCCCCCTTCCCCTTCTGCGCCTTGAGTAACCCACCCGATTGTTGTGGGCCCTCTGTCGGCACGGCCAGGCCCGGCGGAGTGCGGCCAGCACCGGCGGACTTGCGGGGTAGGCAAGCCAGACAGTCGGTTTATGCTTTCGTCACTTTGCATCTCAATCTATTTTTCCACAGATACCATACTAGAGATGCTATACTACTATTACAGACCGAGGTAAACGGTCTGTAATAGTAGTACTTAACTATCTTTTCGCATATTTCCGTCTTCCTTCGAATACGATCTTAAAATTGTTTGAGGCATTACTCAAAATATCGATTCCGATTTGGAACTGTGTTTTAAAAAATGAAATAATTCTGTAAATATCACCATTATTCCATCTCCTCACATCTTATTTTAGATATATTTAAGTCTTTCGTTAACTAAGATCTTCCGGGTTCAAATACCGGAAACAATGAGCACGAGCTCTTTTATCCTACAACTCGATTTTTGATCTCAAAACGACGTTTATCTGCTTTAAAGAGTTCATCTGGTGAATCTCTTTTCCCAAGTAAAATAGCCGAAGCTAATTTTAAAAATGTTTTCGTACTTTCGGACAAATTTAAAAATGTGCATGATCTTGTCTGTCCGAGTGACGTACGGGATTAAAAAGAAATCATTCGGTGCTAAGTCAGGACTATACCGCGGATGACTCATCAAATCGATGTTTTGGGTGCTCAAAAATGCAGTTGTTTGAGCCGATGTGTGAGAGCTCGCACTGTCGTGGTGAAGAGTGATCCGTCTTCGGCGGTTGATTTTCCTGCTTTCTTGGAAGACAGCTGGCAAACAAATCGTTGTGTACCACTCAGAATTGACTGTTCTGCGTTTTTTCTAGTGGTACGGTTGCGACATGTCCAGTTTTTCCGAAAAACAGACGACCATCTGTTTGGAAGTGCTTCATGCGCGAACAACTTTTGTTGGATTTTGCTCATCTTGAAACACCCATACAGTCGACTGCTGTTTACTTTCGGGCTCATACGCGTAAATCCACGATTCATCACCTGTCACGATGTCATAGACGTGTTGCGAAGCACTGCGATTGTATTTGAGCTTTCTACTAATCGACACGAGCCTTTTTTGAGCGATTGACAATGTGTGGTATCCAACGCGAACAATTTTTTTTGACAGTCAAATGTTCATGCAATATTGAATGTATGCTGGTCCCGCTAATGCCTAAGGTTGTCTCAATCTCACGATAGGTCACATGACGATCTTGCAATATCAGTTCACGCACAGCATCAATGGTTTTCGGAACAACAACTGATTTTGGACGACCTTCGCGAAATTCGTCTTGGAGTGAACTACGACCACGATTGAATTCACTATACCATTGATAAACACTGGTCCTTGATCATCGCCAAAAATTGAATTAAGTTTATCCATGCACTGTTGCTGAGTTAATCCACGTCGAAAATTGTAAAAAATAATCGCACAAAAATGTTCATAATTTAATTCCGTTTTTGAGTCAAGATGAATCTTTTAAGTTGCTGTAAACAACACAAATAGGGTTCGTATGTCAAAACGTTCTGAGCACCTACAACCTCAAAACATCCAACTTCACAATAGAGCTGTCAGTTGCCAGATTTCAACACCAGGGTTGCCGAATCCCGAAACATAAAAGGCAACCTTCGTATTATGAATCATGACTTATCCCAGCTTACTTGGTAAGTTATTTTGATATAAAATAAATATGTTATAGTTGTATAATTTTGAAGGGAATAAATAATTCCTGGTGCGTCATTTCGTACAGACTACGTAAATGAATAAAGGGTAATGATGCCAATGGATAACTCCTAGATGTTTTCTTGCGTGTTTTCCCTTCCATTTTCTTGGAGCGTGTTTTCCCTTCCATTTTATTTGTTTTATAAAAAGTAGATTTTCTAGAAACAGTTATCTGGAGAAATTGCAGTATGCAAAATCAGTTGGACGTGACTCTTTCGTGGGGTATCGGCCACAATGATATAAATTATATGGCATATTCAAACGAGTTTAAAAACCAAGGAAATCCTTTTCTATGAATATGATCTTAGTATATGCTTTACGCTAACGCTTACGCGACGTAATGTAATCTATGTCACGTACAACAACTTTCCAGAAGAGATATAAAACGAGGTTTCTCTCAATGTGAATTGTTTTTGAAAATCTTAAGAAAGTAAATACTTACTTCAAGAACATTTTTAGTCTTTTTTTTTCTTTTTCCGAGGGATGACTTTTGCCAATTGACTGAATCACACGGTATTCATGCAATTGTGTTGCTATTTGCACAATGTCGGCTGTCTCCTTTCTTTGGTAATGGAATAATTATAGTGCGTTGCAAATCTGTTGTTTAATGTTTTATTTTCCAGATCACATTGCATAATTGTGTTAATTTCGCCAAGATTTCTTCCCCTAAATCTTTGAATAGTTCGATTTGAATATTATCTACAGCTGGCGACTTCCCATTTTTCAGTAGTTTTGTCGCCCAATGCAATTCTTCTATCTCTGCCTCTTTTCCGTAATCATCTATATTTATCCACTACTCTATTTGTAAGTTCTTCTCATATAACTTTTTCGGTATTCTTCCCATCTTTTCGTGATCTCTTCTTTTGTTGTTTTTGTTTTGTCGTTCTCGTTCTTAACATTCGCCATTATTGGTTTACACTCCGTGGTCATATTTCGGATGACCTGGAAAATTTCTAAGATCTCCATTTGTTGTTATGTTCTTCCACATCTTCGCTTGTCTCGAATTCGTTTAATCTCTGTGACTTCACAGAGCATAATTAAGAATTTGGGCTAGCGACACGGGCAATTGCTAGTGTTCGAAAATTGTTAGAAAATATGAGCTGTTTTAGCACCACTAGTTTTATCGAAGTTATATTTCACTTCACAGTGTCAGTCATAGTGACGCACGAGTATGCAAAAACTTTCGGACGCGCTTTCACTTTTGATTCTTAGTTATGACAGTATATGTAAAATTGCAGGGTGTCACCCAATCTTGTCGGGCTTAACTTGTGACACCATTAAAGATGGAATAAAACATTATCTTTTGACACAGAAATGTCTTTAAACACGTTTTGATATTTCGTATCGTTTCTGAGGTAGAGTGCACTGTTTGAATATGTGAAGTAAAAAGTTGCTCTTCATGTATAAAAATTGTCATTTGAAGCAAATTCTAGAAAAGCGCGATCAGATTTGATTCAATTTTGTATGCCGAGTTCCACAGAGTATCTCAAAGGATCCTGTCTTCTTAAAAGGAACAATCAGACGTTGAAATAATTTTGATAAAATGCGAAGCACTTCAACTGAGCTTGCTTATTTGTGCAAATTAGATGAAGACCCCTCCCCCGACAAACATGTAGGCGAAAAATAAATTTATGTTCGGTTATAAACATGGCAATGACAGTACAAATGATCCAAAAGACTTTTCGCATACCCTATGAACCGCATTTCCGAATAGACGACTATTATTGACACAACCGTTTCATCTGTAGAGGAAAGGTTTCAATTGCTTAAAGAGCCAACTGATGCGTTTAATTTTGTATTTGTCTTCAAAATACTAGCAGAAATTAGTTAATCAGACATATTAAAAAAATGCACTGATCTATAATTTAAACTGACCGATGAAACTGATAAAGTTAGTCTAAAAGATATAAATGCAATAGAACTTGCAGATCAACTAAATACAATCACAACATTACTCAAATCAAAATCATCACCAATTTGAAGTAGAATTCATAAACAAACTTCGTACGGCGAGAAAGTAATAAACTTACCTGACCATTCCCTAATATTACCGTGATATTACAAATTTTGCCAGTTACAGTAGCCACCAGAGAAAAATCATTTTCAAAATTAACTAGTGGCGCTACAGTGTGGTACAGACTTTCCCGTATTAGTTTTCTATTTCCCTTGGTCTCGGCTAGCTACTCGGACTTGACAAATACCCTTGCCAGCTACCATCTATCGCCGCCCAAAGTACATTTTTTCCACATTTTCTTCATTTATCGGTTTCTTAATTGTAGAGCGGAAATACAATTTTAAGATCATTAAATGAAAGTTAGGACGTCGTCTAAATGGCAATTTTTAAAACATTTGGATCCACTTTTAAACAACTGGCGTTTAAGCTCTATTGGAAATTCAAAATTTGAAGTTATTTTTCACAGAAAATGTTTGAGGTTTCGAAAAATTTCATTTGAGTAATTTTAAGTATTTTATCTCACAAATACAATGGTGTTTCAAATTACTGCAAATGTGCGTATTAACGGCGTGAGATCTTTCTAAAAATTATATTACTGTAATTTTTGAAAAAAATACACCGAAATAAAATTTACATCATATTAAAGAGTGAAATTAGCACTATGCGTTCCAAAATGATGCAGAAAACTTTGGAGCCATGTATCAGAAAATGTTTGAGCGTTTCTGAAAATTAGAAAAGAAAAAAATTGGAGCCATTTTTGAGAAAAATTTGAATATGTTCAGAGGGCTTTATGCCCAAATTTTGAAGAATGTTCGTCAAAAAAATCTCAATGTTTCGCCTCGAACAAGATGAACAGGGGTTCTTCAATTTGTAAAAAAAAAAATCCTGCTATGGTTTAGGTGCTAGTAGTGTTTACTGACGGACAGACAGACGGACGGACAAACGAACGTTTTGCCTTCAATTGATTTTTCGGTATGAAGGACCCACAAAACAGGGATTCTTGCTAGAGAATTTTTAACAACTAGCTTTATCCACTTTTCGTTATCAGGGCCCGGCTATGAATTTTTTTTTGTCGAAAATCCGCCGTATTTTCGCGCAGCATTACATAACTCTCCCTATACTACGTATATTACTCCGTATATACGTATGTATACGGCAAGTAAAAATCATTAGTCTAAAAACTTCCTATGATCAACAATGTCACAAGAAACATTAACGGATCTGGTGATGATATCTATTGAAGTGAAATCTGCAATTATATTTATTTATAGTTTCATAAAAAAAATTGCAAATTTAATTGTCCAAAAAGTGTCTTATTTTGCATTTTACAGAGATATTATTTACTATTTACTAAATCTATAATAACACTTAAGTAAGTACTATTTAAAAAAAGTTTCTTCTATTAATAGTATGTAATTAAAGTATTCCTTTTGAAAGCGGCAAAATGTACTTGCACCAGCGCGGTAAATCAGTGCGCGACGGCCCTGCCGAGACTCCAACGTCGCTTTTATCCGTCGAAATCTTGACTTTATATTTTGTATTTTTACATTACTTTCTCTGTTCTGTGTATGGAGTAAAAGTGAGCTCCACAATACCTGCGCATAATGCAGCTACATTTATGTCGAGACGTCAAGTAAGGGATTATCCCTTTGACAAGGGAAACCAAAAATAATTTTCTATTTAATTTAATATTATTGCATAAAATAGTATTCTTCTAATTCTACAGACAATTAAACAATTCATTTTTTAAGTTACTTATGCTTTATTTCGCTACCCGTTTTGTCGCATCTTCAGATGTACTGTAATACAGATTTTTAAAATTACAAATTTTCCTTTCATCCTAATATATGAAATTTAGAATAGCATTATTAGTGTCTATTTCATAATTTTCACATGGGATCAAATTTAAGTTTTTGTCAGACATTTCAAAATTAATATTATTGAATGATGGACATAAAAGCTATTCATAAAAGGCGGTCTTACAGCGCAAGGAAATTGCAGTATTTGGGCCTTCGAAGCGCTGTCAATGGTCCTGACGTCGTGAGTTAGTGACAATTGAATGGTACAATGCGAGATACTCATGCAAAGAAACGATTGGAGACGAGAAACTGCGCCAAACGTTCTTCTGCCAATGCCTGACGCCGTTGGATACTGGGCGGCATCCTTGTGCCCTGGCGCCATATTATCATAGTTCCGCGTTTTTGAGGTTGTTGTGTGCAGGTTGACATGCGGCGGAAGGAATTTCGGGCACATTGAATGCGTTGTATAGTAATATTACGTTATTTGTTAAATTGTGTTACTTAAACGTATTCGATAATGGCTAATATTACTTTGGATAAGGAAGCCTTCTTTCGGCGCATGAAAAGACTGTATTCGGCGTGGAAAGTACGTATGATGGAATTGAATTTTTTGTGTTCTAGAAGAACTTTTGTGTTGTATCCCTTAAATTTATTAAAGTATGTTATTAATCATAAGGGAAAGTGGCGCAAGATTTCATGAAATGCCATTTCCCCTCCCCTCAAATGCCTGGCAAGAAAAATAAACAAACGTGTAACCTAAGAAATCCTTACCTATTGCCTTTGTTTGAAAGCGTTTTGCGGAAAGTATAAAGCGACATCATGCCATAAACTTACATTCCCTCATTAAGTACAATATTTTTATTAGATATGACAGAACCTTGTATTAAACAATAGGATTGAAACAATTAACAATTCTTAGCATTCAAATTAAATTAATATTTTAAATGAGGAAAAAATGTATAACGGTAGTTTCTTTGTGATTTACTATAGGAACAGGAAAATGGAAACGATGAAGGCTTTGGAAAAATGGATGCAATGGTTGCAGCTGTGGGTATGGATGAAGATGTTGTTTATAGCAAATCAACAGCATTGCAGGTTTGTGTTCATTGTGAATGAGATGGTTAGTTTACGGTACTACACTCCAATACCTACATTTTTATAAGTTTGTAAACATGTAAAGTATCAAGCCGCCTAGAAAATTCGCAAGTGGAAAAGCTCTTGTCTTGTACTTTCGCCCAACAGCTCTTTACGAGCTCAGGCCTACTAGCAGCGTCCCGGCTTTGAAGCCATGTTTAAGGGATTTAAGGGATACGTGTGGTTAGCACGTAGCCATTCCTATTCTGATCTTCTTAACCTGAGAAAGTAAGTTTTCTCATCATCATACAGCATGAAAATACTGGGACTTTGCAAGGAAAGCGCACAATTAATTTTTGCCCCGAGTGGGAATCAAACCCAGGTGTGCGCCATGGAAAGCGAGCATGCTAACCAACAAGCCACCGAGGGAAATTGTTCTCATCTTGTAGACAGTGTTAATTCCTTTTAAAATAACAAAGTAATAGATGATTATGGTAACTAGATGTATGTTGCAAAATCAAGTTGCACATCTTGTAAATGGTCTCTTTGAAAAAAACGTAATGGTTCTTCTTGCATTTGTAATCTTTTTTTTAATTTCAATTAAAACTAAAGGTTTTGTTTTTAAGTTCGGTTTTTGTGACAAAAAAGGTCAGTGAATGAACCAAAATTTCAATTGAAGATTGAGAAGTGCATGCAAATCTGAATTATATATGTGCATAGGCCTGTGCACTGAGCCCAAATGCATGTCTGGGCCTACTTTTTCTGTTAAATTTTATTTACATAGCACGTATTTTACTAGTAAATAATTAAAACCTGCTACTAGGAGTATGAAATTAAAATTGTAATGATGCTATTAAGAAATATACTTAATTTCACATTAAATCTTTTACATTGTTGTGAGATGGCGTGGAGAGCCTATTCCCTAAATGTCATAAAACTATTTCTCAAATTGTCTAGTTAAAAAAAGGGAAAACAAGTATTGAACATGGTTAAGGAAATAAAATGTTTTATCTACACCTAAGTCTACCATATTATTCAGGGGGTCAGAGCTCGCCCTGTTGTGGTGCTGTCATTTGTAATGTGTAACTAAGAAAATTAATAAGAATTCAGGTAAGATTTGTAACATTTTCCATCATGAATGGTATGTGACCTATTATGTTCTTGAGCTCTGGGGTATTTAAACGTAATAGTTTAGGGTTTATTGTGGTCACATTGAAGGGCTGCTTAAGGAAAGGTATTGAATTGAATTTAATTTGCCTTATTTTCCGTGGCGAGGTATTTCTGCAACTTTTTTATTTAAGAGAAAGTTTTGTGTGTATTGTGATATCTGTAAACAATTTTTTTTTTTTTAATAAAGATATTGTTCTACAGAACTTCTCATATCTGAAAAGTATAATTAATTGACTCAATTACCCAACAACTAAGTTGTTAAGTGGACAAATAATATTGCATTAATAGTAGAATAAGTCAAATGTCACATTATTCCTGAGTCCTGTCATTTTTGTCCATATTTTGTAGTCTGATACAGCTACTATAACTTCGGACTTTAAATTTCAGATATCGTTACTATTGAAAAAGACAATTTTGTATTGATGAAGAAAATGTTCTTTTTCAATAGAATCAACAGTGAAGTATTGAGATTCATATAATTATTTAGAAGTTATTTGTATTGGATTTTAATGAGATAGTAGGCAAAAAATATTTAATATATCTTAATCCTAACAGTTGTATTTGTGATGCATATGGTGTGTTAAAAAAGGAAAGTGTTGTGATTTTGTTTATTTTTATTACTTTACTATTTTTTACTGATATGTTATGTCTTGTTATTGTCTTCGAAACAGCTTGATATACAATGCTTAACGTCCCTAGATCAAAAGAATCATGGTTAAGAGGAAAATATGAAAACAGTTGAATGATGCCACATGTTCTCTTATGGAAGAACATATGAAAAGACAAACCGAAACAAGTGAACATCTAGTTTATTAGTTAATAAGTAAATCTGAATGAATAAAATTAGGTAAAAAATAAAATTATGTATTACAGGGGTTCTAATGATTTCAGGACCTTGGGCCAAGAGCCCTGGGGCATTTTGTCGCTGCTTGATCTTTAAAATCCTTATACCCTCCTTGGTGCTTAAATAATTATTTTGTTGTGATGCATAGGTTTAAGAGACTATTTAAAAATAATTTAAAATGAATGGTAGGGTTATTTGTGACAATAAACAGAACTGTTAATTTTGAGGATATGTTGAAGAGAACTAAAGTGTTCGTCCAATTTTAAAAATAGTTCATTGACATCTAAAGCATTTCTTAGCAAAAGCAATCTGCTCAATATTTTTTGAGCTTTGGGATCTCTATCTCAACTGTCACATATTAAGTTGAATTATAAATACATGTAGCAACAAGCATTTTTGGCAGTTATTGGTATATTTGCACCTAAAAAAACTATTTGTCAGAATGATTTGTCAGGCAAAATGATTTTAGCTATTTTTCCTACTGCTCTACAAGAAGGAAGTGACTTACTGCCTTGAGAAAATGGTGAACAATAAAATGAATATTTATATTCCCCAAGAGTCCAGAAAACTTGTTCTGATAGTAAAACTACATTTAGTTCCAAAGGACTGAAGAAAAACAGTTGTGAAGCAACTGCTTAATTTATATAGTTAATACCTGATATTTGTAAATGTAATTTTTATTAAAATTTTCAATATCTTGTCTTATATACAGGACTTTGTAGTGTACATTTGTTATGCTAGCTTTTTCTTCACAAATACATATGTTTTTATATTTCACCTTGAAAACGTGTCTCAGATTTATTTGTATGTGAAAGGATATTGTACTGAAAGTTTTAAAAAATGAAAGAAAAATGCAGTAAAATATTGATAAAGATATATTGGGGGTGATTTAAGGGGAGAAATTAGAAAGATGATACTGGTAATGTAAAATAATTTCAGCTGCATCGGAGTAAAATTTTGAAGATCCGACAGAGGCAATTAAGAGTGAAGTACGAAGTACATTATCGCTTTGTGGTTTCTAACATGGTAAATTGACAATAGATTATTATTTTGTCTTGAGATTAAATTGTTAAGTGCAGTGAAATGTTTTTAGGCAGACTACATTGATGTATGAAAGTGTGATTAGACAATGGTTATTAATTCCTAGATTTGAAACCCACATTCTAGAAAAATCTTGCTATTCAACTTCAAGTAAAAATGTATTTTTTGTATTTTAGCATTAAAACTTAATTTTCTAACTTCTTCAATCTTTGGTGTTTAGTGCCATAGATGCCACCTATTAATTTGATTATAAAATATTTTGATGCATCATGTATTTAGAGTTTCATTATACTTTGATTTATTATTTCTCAGACTTGGCTGTTGGGTTATGAACTCACAGATACCATGATGGTACTCACTGAAGAGGCTATTAATTTCCTTGCTAGCAAGAAAAAGATTGACTTTCTTAGACAGATAGAAAATGGGAAAGATGAAAATTCAGTCCCTCCAGTAAAATTATTGACAAGAGACAGAGTAAGTAAATGTTTCTTAGTTAATAATGTGTATCTAGGTAATAATAGCATTTTGTAAAAAATTAAAATGCATTTGTATTTTGCAGGGTGATGACCAAGCAAATTTTACCATTCTTATTGAAGCTATGAAAAAAAGTAAAAGAGGAAAGACTTTAGGAGTATTTTCCAAAGAAAATTATCCTGGTTTATTCATGGATGCTTGGCGTTCAGCCTTGAAAAAGGAAAACTTTGAGACAGTAAGTATGATGGAAAACTACTTTAAAAAAATTAAGTTTATGATGTATTATAACTACTTATTATATTTCATCTTATCTCTTAAAATCTCAGGTTGATGTCAGTGCTGCTATTGCATATGTTATGGCACCAAAAGAAGATTCAGAGATCTTAACCATCAAGAAGGCCTGTTTAGTGTCTGTAGATGTGTATACGAAATATCTTAAGGACCAATTAATGGAAATAATTGACTCTGATAAGGTAATTTGATTTTGGTCAATGTTTGTTTAATAATACTGTATGATGTTCTGTGATGGTATTGGATAGTTTTAAACCTTTCCCTCTCAATTTTTTTCTCTGCTGCTGGTCCTAACCTCCGTCGTTTTCATGGAATTGATAACTGGCTAATAGAAATGTATGAAGAAATGTTTATTATCAATATTGTAGCTCTTAAATTATGTACAAAAATATTAATATTGCTATTAATATTTTTTAATATTTGCTCTGAAGTCGTTTATGTTTCGTATTCATGTAGTCGTTTATTGTTATTTCCATCACTACCATTGTTCATCACTTCCGCTGTTATATAATTTTCATGGTCTTCATAATACTGTTATCACTAAAATCTTCAATGACTATCCTCCAAAATGAGCTATTGTATATGGGTTGTTTTCATGCATAACATGTCTGCCATTGCCAAGGTTCATCAAAAATAGTTTTCATTAAAACAATTGCTCTATATTTTTAGTAATTATTTTTGTGCCTGATCACTGGCAGCAGAAAAATAGTGCTTTATTGTCAAGGGTGACTCAACATACGAGCAGTCACTTCGATCTGATATGAGTCACTCCTGACTTACAAGTACCTGAGAATTTGCTGATGCCATAGCTGGCAGCATCACAGTTTTGTGGAAAGGGTTAATGGATTTTAAATATAATCTCTACAACTATGTATGGCATATTGATGCTTAAGGATCAGTACTGTCTATTTCCAAGACACGACAACAGGAGACCAAATATTGGTTTGTTCTTTCAAATAATTTAACTAGTGGTGCTACAGAACGGCACAGACTCTCTTGAACTAGATAGTGTTCTAATTTCTTTCTGAGCCAGCTTTTCAGTCTTGTCAGTTGCCATCTATCGCTGCCCAAAGTAATTTTTTAAACAATTTTTTGTGTTCCTATGGTAGAACTGAAATGTTGCTTCAAGAATATTATAGAAGAATAAGACCTTGTCATATATGAACATTTTTGTTGAAAAATTTGGAGCAGTTTTTACAAAAATGTTTAAATGTTACTGTTAATGCGAAATTCGAAGCAATTTTTTTCAGAAAACTTTTGAGTTTGCAAGAAAACTTCATTGAAAGACAATTAAAGCTCTTCGAAATGCAATGAAATATACCAATCACTGAAAATGTGCATATTAGCACCAGGGGGGGGGGGATATTTAAAAAAAAATACATTTGCATAATTTTTTTAAAAAACAAATGAATACTACAAAATAGTGTTTATGGCATTTCTTACAGTATATTTAACACAATCACCACAATAAGTTTAAAGAAAATTTAGAAATATGTTTGAGAAATCATTGTTTTTGATGTTTTTTAATATTGCACATATTTCTGCAATATTGTGCTAAAATTATTAAAGTTTTATAAAGAAATGTGCAAGACCTTAATGAAAGTACTAATTATGAAGAACAAATTTCATTAAAAGCAAAAATTTCTAGCTTCAATTTTGTAGTTGTCAGAAGAGGCAGAAAATAGTCAAACTTTACAGTTAAAAATAGTTCTATGCCATCTTTAAAAGTGAATTTTACTGTATTCTTTAAAAAAATTTGGAGCCATTTTTTAGATAATTTGAAAATGTTCCAGATTTCCATGCTTCATGTAAAGTACTCCCATAATTTTAAAGAATGTTTTTGAAAATTCAAAGCCTCAAGTTGAGCCAGGTCGACTGTGGAATATTCATTTTGTCAAAAATTGTACTTATGGTTTAGGCGCCAGTGGTATTTACAGAACAACGGACCTTTAAAATAAACAAACAACACTTTTTCAGTATCAGAGAACCCCAAAACATGTATGTTCATTGAAATCTCAAAATGGATTTTCTGCGGCATGTCTATTACTCTGTGTAATACCTACATATATGAGAAAGTAAAAATCTACATATAATTATTAGTATTTATCCTGCAAAAATTATTTTAGCACAATAAAATCTTTTTTTTACTTTCCTACACTTGTCGATGCAAGAAAGGAAAGTATTGTAGTCATGCACCGGAAAGAGGCGAATTTTTTACACAAAAACTATTTATTGTCCTGGTAATGAAAAAATCAGTTGCAAAAAAATTCCTCTACTACATGGTGACTGTCTGTCTGTCTTTTTGTCTGTGCTCAACGCTAGCGCATCAAGTATTCAGCCAATTTTCTCTAGAATTGATATTCCCAATTGTTCGGATTGATGTTGTGGCTCCTGAAATTTGAAACCGATATTTTAATTTTGAGGGGTGTTTTACATAAAGCCCCTCGGACATTAAAAATTTCAACAAAAAAATGCCTCCAATTTTTTAAAATTAAATTTTGTTTTTGAACAGGGCAAAAGACGTTTCAGGAAATTGTGCACACCTCATTATCATTGAAATTCCTAATTTTTCTAAAATTGCATAAACAAACAAACAAAAAACTACAAAATTGAAGAGGAAGATTTTTTTCTTTAAAATATTTTTTTTTATGACTTATGCTTTAATTGATCACTTTGTTCCAAAGAAACTAGTTTTTGTCAGTCCTTCATTGGTCCTTCATTGTTAGTACTCATTGAAGCACATCAGTGAAAAAAGAAGTTTCACAAAGTGTAAAAACAAACTAATAGATCTCATTATTACGTTAAATTTTCTACCTTGCGATCCAGTGTGTCTTATTTACAACTTATCCTTTTCCCCACATACATAAAATGGAATATCAGCATCTATTGACCCAAAATTTTTTGAAAGTTAATCATTACATTTACTAGGAATGCTGAATTACCTGGTGTTAGGTATTTGGGTACGAACTGCTGCAGGGCTTATTCAGAAATTGCCACTTTATTTTCTACTTGTTTTTTAATAATTATACTAAACACAATTTAGAAAACATTCCAACTACTACCGCTGACTTTCAACATCATTTGACAGTCAGCAATATCAAATTCATGTTAACTGAGATTCTTCTTGCTCAAAGTCATTTGAACTCTGGTAAGAGTGCTGGGTCAGATGAGATCCTTAGTACTTTTTTGAGCAGTTGTAAATTTGCTCTCCTGCCACCACTGTGTTATATATTTAACCAATCCCTGAACTTGGAGATTTTCCCTACTACTTGGAAATTTAGTAAAGTTGTCCTTACATTCAAGAAAGGAGAAAAGCGATATGGTTCAAATCACTATCGTATTTTCATTCTCAGTGCTGTCTCAAAACTTTTCAAGAAAAGGTGGTTAATGCTTTGGCACCAAACTTTTCCACAATTACGGTATTTTAAATTACCACCATGATTTTACTAACAATAGATCTACTGCAACTAATCTAGCCATATTTAAAATCTGTATCATAAAAGCGTTTGAATCCGTTTCTCAAGTTTATGCTGTATACACGGATTTTGCCAAGGCTTACGTCCGTGTTAATCATGACATATTGATTGACAAGTTGTCATCCTGAGGCATCAATGATCCACTTATATCATAGATGTGCTCATATCGTTCTGGCAGAAACCAAGCCAAGCAAATGTGGTTATTTATGGCCATGCGTTCAAGCCATTTGTAGTCAAGATCTGGTGTATCTCAAGGCTCTTGTGTAGATCTGATTTTGTTTAATATTTTCATTAATGATCAGCCATCTGTTATCAAATATAGTAAAATCTTATTGTTTGCAAACAATGCCGGAACTAATGCCAAGATCACTGATTTTAATTATGCCTACCGCTTACAGGAGTATCTCAAGACAAGTGTTGTTCTCTGAAACTGAAAGTTGTTCTTTTTAAACACTATTGATTTCAAATATTATTATTTTCTTTTTTTCAAAACTCTTATCCTTTTTATGGCTATTTTGATGTTTGTGATTTGGGTATTATAAGTAAGAAATGTTAAGAAAAATTATATTAGTGTACTTTTTGAAGAAACAAAAAAATGTGTACACTGAAATGTACTTTGTCACATTAATGTGTGCAATTAGCACTACCCGTTCAAGAAGTTTGAAGAAAAAATATGGAGCTGTTTTTGAGAAAATAACATTTGAGCATTTCTGAAAATGCCGAATTTTGAGCTAGTTTTCACAGTAAATGGTTGAATTTTGGAGAAACTATATGACATTATTTAAAGCACATGTACTCGTAAATGTAATAATGTGAACATATTGCGCTAATATAAACATTAACAACGTGAGAGAAAAGTCAAAAAACTTACACACTATTGCACGAAATCTACTCTAAGTTTCAAAACAAAATACACGACCTTAATGAAAGAGCTAATAATGGACAACAAATTTAATTTGAGGGAAAACCTCTTATCTTCAAATTTGTATTTAAAGGAGGACTCTGAAAAAATGTATATCTTTGAAATTTTCAAAATTCAAAATGTTAACCGTGAAAATCTAACCTATGCCACTCTTACAGAGCGCTCAGGTCAGAAAACAATTTTAATGACAGCTTGTATAACAAATGAGCATTGGCAAAGACTGCATCACTCTCTGGTAAATATTCTCTCATTAGTCAGCTGAGAAGTAGTATCATGTCTTGTTATTATAGGATGTTAAATAATAAATTCTAATTTATGAAAGATAAATGCTTTTCCACTCTCACTATGAACATTTTTGACTTACGAAATGAAAATTGAAAGGATTCATGCCCTAAGTAACTTTTTTAGTATCTATAAATAAAAGTAATTTTAAACAGGGGTTGAAAGGTATCATAAAAGCAAATATATAAATTAAAAAATAATACTCTGTATTTGTGTTGTGATTTCTTTGAAGGATACAACTGTTGCACCAAACACCTTCAAAGTTTATTAAATTTAATTAAATTAAATTTGATTATTTCAAGTCAAACTTTATGAAATTGAAATTACTTTCGGAAGTACTTCGAGAACATATGTCCCAAAAAGTCAACGACCTACAATTAACTAGCTCAAAATCCAGTCTGCCAAGTGTGCGAGGTTGAGGAGTGAAATGTTTTATTTTGAAATGAAAATGACACATTGTAAAAAATTAAGTTTGTTTTGTAACATATAACATTTGATTGGTTATGTAACCTGACCTAACTTCGTAATTTGACAACTTTTAATCTCGTGTTCTATTAAGATGTCTTATGATACTTATTTCATACGTAATGTACCCCTTAAAAGATAAAACTTTTAATTAAATCTTCATTTCTAATTCTTTTTTATTCAAAGGAAGAATATTTTTATATTACCTGAAGATAATTTTTTATTTATGGGGTGTATGTTGTCAGAATCTATTTCCATTCGTACACGTTAAAAATTAACATCACAAAATTGAAAAAACCTGTTCATTTTAATAAAAAAGAATTAGAATTTCTTGTAATTATTAAAAATTTAACATCAGTAAAAATGGCTACTTATATCCTCTGAGAAGTATACCTCTCAATACTGTAATTAGTGGAAACACACAATAAATAATTAAAATATTCATATGTACATGAGGAAGAATTCAGTAATTTCAAGAAGGCGAAGACTACTTATCTTGCAAAAAATAATAGAAAACGCCCCTACATGTTTGTAGCATAAATAAATAAATGTATGAACATTTTAGAAAACAAATGAAGATATTAAGAGAAAACTTAAATGACATAAAATCCAGTTATGACTACTACTTACTATTTATGATTTATTTTAACTCCCATCACCAACAAACCATTACAGAACCAAATGCTTTCTAACTACCGTACCCAATATTTATTTTCAGAGAGATATTGAGAGTACATTCACATACACAGATACACACAAATGGCAAATTAAATTTTTTTGAAAATTGCTAAACTTCAACTGATATCACAATCCCCACCCCACAACCAAATAACTCAAAAACTTGAGTTTTAGCTGTTTTCTCTAGTTCTAATACTGCACGTTACATTCTTTTGTCAACTCCCTACATGTACAATGAAGTCACTATTTGAAAGCCATCTGGTTGTTTTTATCTGGGTTTTGAAAGACAAGTTGCTGTTGTTAGAGATCTCAAGCATAAAAATGTACCTATATAATCTACATAATGTACCTACATAAATAAATACTTCAAAGTAATCAGTCGAACATTCTGCGATTTTACCTGAGTCATCTGTACTGACTCCATTAATCAGTATGTTGTTTGGAGGTCCAGTTTTACATGCGGTTTGTCTCCTGATTTACGAGTAGAATTTCTTGCCACCTGTTTGTGCTACTTGTTCTTCATATGTTTTTCTCTGTTTACGCAAATCAGAAGTAAGTCTATTTGCAATATCTGTAAACTAGGTAATCGTCTCTCAAACCATCCTTCGTGTACCTATGCCAGGCCACGCGCTTTGCTCTTCTTGTCTTTTCACTTCAAGATTAATCCATGGTTTACCTAGGGTTTTTCTCATCTTGAATTTCGGCGAGAAGGTTTTAAGAAGTTGGTGCGCAGTGTCACTAAAATCCTCATAATTTGTTTCGACATCTTCGTTTTTAGTCTGATAAATTTGTAGTGTTGGCGAAAGTGATTCATTCAGATGTTTTTTAGTTTTGTCGTAATTTGCTGCAAAGAAATTACGGCTCTGAGGTATATCATTGGAAAGTAACCAATTGACACTAAATTCCTTCTGCAAGGTAGTGATAATAACCGAGTGATCACTTATACCTAAGTGCAGTCTCAGAATTGGAGGAGTCATGAAATCGGTGTCAGATCTACGAATTCAGGGGTAAGTTTAACCAAAAAGCCTCTGAGGGGATCATGTAGTTCATATAATATAGAAGCACCTGTAGCAATAAAATTTATTGTATATCTGACGTAAATTAAGATACCTCATCCAGGTTTGTTAAGTCTGTCATTACGAAAGATAGCATAAGGATATTGATCATAGTCAGTGATATCTGGCTTCAGCCATGATTCTGTGATGATTATGATATCAGGTTGGACATCATCATCTTCTAGTAAAAACTGATCAATCTTTGGAATAAGAGATGAGATATTAATGTACATAATTATTGTATTTAGTCCAACCATGCTCATTGCTGCTTTTATTCGTTTCCCTGTTTGCGCACAATCCAGGGGTTTCCTCTAATATATCTTATCACTACGTTTGGGTTGGTTTTCTGTCTAGCAATCAATTTTGCTTGAACATCTTTCAACTCCTTTCTTTGTAATGGGGTTAGATCATTATTTCCTCTCAACTCTTGAGGTAACTTCCTGCTATTCCTCTAAATATCTTTAGCAATATTTACATCAATACATCTTTCATAACTGACTTAATTGGTTGGGGATTTTTGAGATTGCCTTGTACAAATTTACAGTCTTGTGATCTGCAATATGTGTTTATCGATATCAATTCCTTCATGGCCGAGTTCGCACAAAGTGTGTCTGACTACGCTCTTTTTTTCTGCTCTGGAATTCACTTCGTTTACCCCATAAATGATGACGTTACACTGGTCATGTTCTTCAATCTCTCTAATTATTCCAAGATGAGATTCAGCTGATGGAGAATTTTGTATGGTATCAATATTCTCCATGATTTCTGAAATTTTCTTAAGTACGTCCTTCTGTGAGGTCTCTATTTTGTCACATTTTGCCTCTAATTGTTTGTGTTCATTCTTGCATGCTTCCACTTTTGCCGTTAGATTTTGTATTGTATCTGAAATCCTTCCAATATCATTTTTAATACCATCAAAACCTTCTCTTAGTTCTTCAGTTAACTTTCTTTCCAAGGAAATTATCTTATCACTCAGATTTGTAGTGGCTTTTTCTAGCTCTGATTTGAGAATTCGAACTAATTTGTTTGCCTCCATATTTACCTCAGTCAAGCAATACAGAAATTCTTTCAATTTTGTATTAATTCGTACTTTCACCAGAGCTTGGATGATAGAACCACTTACAGTTCACACAAAATGCAGTACGTTTAGAAATGAATTTGCTGCAGTATTGACAGTATTTACACATTACTACCATGCTTTCAATTCCTCCGCTCATTAGCAAGAGCTCTAATCAACAACGAACAGATATAAAATATTGCCATCAGTGAAACTAGAAAGAAACACAATTTTATACTTCCAGAAAGTTTTAATGTATTTGGAGAGAGAATGCTTAACGTAGCCATCCCAAAACTGCTCAATTCAATGCCATATGAAATATTACAAGTTATGTCTAAAAGGGTTATGAAAAATATAATTAAAAGAATGGTATATAAGATATTAGACATAAAAATAGAAAGTTCATGACTTATCTCTTTAGCTTATTGCCATTTTGTTTTATTTATAATTTATTTGTTAATTAAGGTAATTTGATTTATTTTTGCTTGTTGATTTGTCACTACAAGTTTTTAATATGTTAATTAAGTATCACTTAATTCTCATTTTTGCCTGTTGCAGAGTGCCATCTTGTTTTATTTATTTACTATTTATTTGTTATTTTAGATAATTTGATGTTTTTGATTTATTTTTGCCTGTTGAGTACCATCTTTACAAGATATTAATTTGTTAATTATGTATGTTCTTGTTGTTTCTTATTCTCATTTTTGGCTGTTGCCTACTCTTTCAGTTTTATTGATTTTTTAATATTAGATAATTTGATTGTAATTTGTCAATTAGTAATTATGTCAATTGTTCAATGTATAGACTAATTTTTTTTATTGTGTCTTATTTACTTTGTAATTATTTAATTAATTGAATCATAATTTTTGTGGCTATTGCTTGTTCAATAACCAATATATTTCTTGGGAAAATAAAAATTATTATTATTATTATTATTATTATTATTATTATTATTATTATTATTATTATTGTTGTTGTTGTTGTTAATTTTTATTTTTATTTTTTGCAGAAAGTCAAACATGCCAAGTTGGCTGAAGGTGTTGAAGCTGCAATTACAGACAAGAAGTATGTAACAGGTGTTGACACTTCCCAACTAGATATGTGCTATCCAGCTATAATCCAAAGTGGTGGGAACTATAATTTAAAATTCAGTGTAGTAAGTGACAAGAATGTTCTTCACTTTGGAGCTATTGTTTGTTCATTGGGAACAAGGTACAAATCATATTGTTCCAACATTGTGCGGACACTTCTTGTGAATCCAAATGAAACTATTCAGGTAAGAGTGAAGTTTTTTTATTGTTAATAATCTAAATCAACAGTTTCCTACATAATTGGGATCCTTAATGTCACAGATTCATTTTGTCTTATGAAAAATTTAAAATTTGAATATGTAATGGAACAATTCAGTTTTCAAAATTGAAATATTAAATTTTGTTCAAGTATTGTAATTGAAAATAATCCAGTTTTTGTTGTTCTTTTGGAAATTGCATGCTTGTGATTTTTCTATTTTAACATTGTTTGATGCTTAATAAAGATTTTAAGGTAGCTTTTTAAAACAGAAAAAAGGTTCCTTGAAAGAATTTCTTAACAGGTTTTCTTGATAGAATTGTTGAAAATCTGATATAATTTTTAATTACAAGTTCACTTCAATTTTGAAGGCCTTAATGGTCATGTTAATTTGAATGCATTCTGATACAAACTTTGCGGGGGGAAATATTTTACCCAAGTGCACATACAATCGACTCTGGTTATAGTGAACTTAAGTTACCAGTTCAGTTTCACTTACATTAGAACTAAGTACAAGAAGATTGGCTTATATTGATCTCTGTACCTCGGGTATAGTGAACGCAGCATTCTGGAAATTAATTTCCTCCTGGAAAAAAAATGTATTATCTCAGTATCACAAATTCCAGCACTAGCCAACTTGAAAAAAATAACTTCGGCCAAAGGACGTAATAAAAAAAAGTCCCCTCAGGTGGGGGTAGCAGACCTGGAATGGGGACCTTACTGATGACCTTGTGCCACATTGTGTGTTACTGATGCCCTAGTTTCATTGTGGAAACATAGGCAATATCCTGCTTGGGCTACAACTGGTGACAGTGATGCATGATTGCTTGATTCAGTTTCGAGGTCGATATTACTAGAGATTCCATGAGACAAAGCACATTTTAAGCTGGCCTGAATAGCTGAGGTCGCTGGAAGACTGAAGGGCCATAGCTGCCTCTGCTTGAAGGGTCATGTGATCAAATCCTGCCTCAGGTGTGGAAGTTTGTGCATGTTATCTTATGTGTTCCCCTTACAGTTACCACATTGTTAAAAATCAGTGGTTGCTGTATGACCAACTAGTTAAAAAGTGACCTAAATTTTTTTTAAGTGTAGTGAACTATGTAAGTGACAAGGAAAGCTTTACTACCACAACCCAGTCTAGTGACTCCTGCTGTGCCATGTGGAAAAGTGATCATTTTCATTAGCCGCTTGTGCCATGATGCTACCAAAAAGATCTTGCTAAGCAAGTAAAAGAGCCTTTGGATATTGGGTTGGTGTTGCAACAATACTAGAGCCATTAAAGGGTGTCAAGACTGCATTAGGATTCTGAGAGACAGTGGAAAATGCAAAATCAAGTATGAAGAGTGCCGGACTTGGGAGAAGGATCTAGATAAATTACTAATGAAAAACGTACGAATCAAACAATTGAAAATAATTAATTTTTAAAGTTAAATAAAGACATTGAAATTTTTAGTTCATGGTGTTCATTTATTTTACGGCATCTCTTTATTAATAGAGTGAATAATTATGGAGAAATTCTATTTGATTTTGACATCGTATATAGTGAACCAAAAATGTCAGTTCCCAGAAGTTCACTATAACTAGAGTCGACTGAATTAATTTTTTGTTTCCTCAAATTTCCATTGCGTGGGTCCATTGGAATTGGATCCTGTTCTTTTCATTTGCTACTAAAGGAATTTTTTTATTAGGTTGTAACAAGATAAGAGACAATAGCTTTTTCAGTGATTTATTTTAGTGCACTAAACATTTATTGAATATTGAAAATAGTCTAAAATGGATTACCTGCTTAAACAGAGCTGAAGTTTTGATTAGTTAATGTGATAGGTATTGTTCTATAAACTGTAAAGTTCTGTAAAATGAACTTCTGAAATATTTTACACCATAATTGATCACCTGAGACATGTTTGAGAATACATTAAGGATAGAACTTGCTTTTTTCAAATTGAGGCAAGATATTGGGCAGGAAGTGTTGAGCCATTGACTCAAAGTTCAGGAAGCATTAAGATCATTTGCTGGAACACAGTGCTAGTGAAAATTGTAGGATTTCTTTCATTGATACAGACATGATTTTTGGCTATGAGGAATCCCATTCCATGTATGAATATGGTTTGTATGAGTATGGCCTTTGGTCTCTTGTTTTGACTGTCCTTGCCTGTTTGTCCTTGACCTTTGTGTGTGTGTGTTTTTTTTTTTTTTTTTTTTTTTAAATGCTCATTTTCAGTTCTTATTATGGCTTTTTGTGTCTCTGTTTTAGCTAGAGTAAATGACTATGCGTACTTGTTTGGTTGAAAGTAAATGCTTTTTTGACTCTGTCTTAGGAATAAGGAGGGACTGAAATTCTAGGCTCTAGACATTGCTTTTTATTAATATTTTATTTATCTGTTTGGCCGTAGTAGGGCCTTAAGTAAAAGCTATTTGTTACTATTTTCATTAAACAATATGCATTGTTAGGTATGAATTTTATGAAATTCTAGATGAGATAGTCACAAAAATTAATTTGTCATTTAAAGAGAGATCTGAATGAAATTGTGAATGATGTACTATTTAATATTTAACTGTTTTAGAATAATTACAATTTCCTTGTGGCTGTTGAAGAAGAATTGCTGAAAACTTTGGTTGCTGGAGCCAAATTGAGTGATGTTTATGAAAGTGGATTAAGCTATGTGAAAAAAGAAAAATCAAATTTAATAGACAATCTCACCAAAAACTTTGGGTATGTGCAACATATTGGATGTAAAAATTATGTCTAATTTTTTAGCAATTCTAACTTATTTCTGTGATTGCAGATTTGCAATGGGAATTGAGTTTCGTGAAAGCTCTCTTGTTATTGGCCCAAAGTCAGCAGCAATTGCCAGAAAAGGCATGGTATTCAATTTAAATGTGGGATTATCAGGATTAACAAACAAAGATGCTCAGGAGAAAGAAGGCAAAACATATGCCTTATTTATTGGAGATACTGTACTTGTTAATGAGGTAAAGAAAAAGTCTAATGTGTAATTGATTATGATTACATATTCATTAGAAAAGTAACATCAAAAATTCTTGTAGGGACAACCTTGCACAATTTTAACTCCATCCAAGAAAAAAATCAAAAACATAGGTATCTTTTTGAAAGATGAAGAGGAGGAAGAGGAGGAGGAAGAAGAAGAGAAAAAGAAAGCACCAAAGCCTGAGTTAGTAGGACGTGGTAAACGAACTGCTGTTTTGGATTCTAAATTGAGGGTAAGTTTTAGTGTCACAAGATTACAAACCAAAACATAAAATTCACATGAAAAATTAGAGTGAAACCAAAATTAAAATATTTATTCTCTCATTAAATATATATAAGTATAACTATACATATATTACTGGTACCAGAACTGAATTAAACAGTTTGTTCCAATTTCGTTAATTTAAAATATCTTCAAAATTTTTTTTGACCTGTTGCACTTATTTCTCATTTCGAGATGTTTGTAAAATCATCAGGTTGTACACAAACCCTGAACAACAGCAGTGTATATTTAGTTATATGTAATTCCCAATGCATGTAGGAGCCTTTAGGTGGCCTTGCATCATCGTTCTTGAATGCGTGTCGAGCAGCGAGCCATTCAGTTGCAAGTTTCAGAACACAGGTCTAAAGGAAAGTTCGGTTTGCACACAAGAGCGTGGTTAGGAACGCTACGAGCAAAAGTGTGGCTCGCATTTAACATGGAGTTTTGTTGTGAGTGGACATAGTGACCAGCTGGGCGTTATTTTGAAATGGCGGGTATTCGTTGCTGGAGCCGGGATACGGTGAGGGAGTTTCCTTCCATATATACGGAATGCCCTAGACTATAGAAGCTTAAAAGTTCTGTGTATACTAATAAAAGTTTTAAAAATGAGGGATAGGGGAAGTCCTTAGAATAGTTCTTCTTAAATTCCTTCAGCAGCGGCGTGCAATCATATTTTTGTCTGTAAATTTTTACCCAAAACAGTGGGTCTTTTCTTCTTTATTTCCTTGGTATAGTGTTGTGGTACTAATTCCAAGCACTGCTATAATTTTCCTGTTACGATAATTGTAAATGGACAACAGTTCTGATTAAGCTAATCGAAAAAATAGTAATTTGATTCACTATACACTACATAAACACCACAGGATAACACGCAACACAATCAGAACAGCTCCAATACAGGAGTAGCAGCACAGCGAGGAGTGTGGAACGCACGTCAGGACCGTCAAATCTCAGAAATTCCGCGTGCCGCACAAAGAGTGCGCTCTAGAACGCTGCTGAGATATATACACAGACAATTTTACTCTAAATGTTCTTAAGCGTTGCGAAGAAGCATGATAGAAATAAGAACCACATTTCTGTGCACCACGGTCCTGCTCGCACACTCTATCTCGTAGTTAGGAACGTCCCGGTCAGACGTGTGGCTAAGAATCCCCGTGTAAAGGGCCCTAATGCTGCCAGGGATTGCTGAGTACCAGCAATGCTGAGTAAGAGCTTTTAGTAGTGAGCTAGAGCTAAACTAGTAGTGGTATAAATTGTACAAGAAATGTTTATATTAATATAAATATATTTATTAATTATTCTTTATTGTTATAATAATTAATATATTTGTTAATTATTAAAGTATTATATTATACTTATTACAGACAGAGCAGTCATCAGAAGAGAAAAGGAAACAGCATCAGAAAGAACTTGCTATTCAATTAAATGAAGCAGCTAGAAAGCGCCTTGCCCAACAGTCTGGAGGGAAAGAACAAGAGAAAGTTCGTAAATCTACAGTTTCGTACAAAAACCACAGTCAATTGCCACGAGAGAAAGAAGTTATAGCATTAAAGATATTTGTGGGTATGTTCCTTGATTTGCTTGATTTATATGTGTGCAACTGTAACAAAAGGTTGAAATAATTATTTCCTTTGGAATAATTCTTGTCATGAATGTTTTCTCTTTAATGTGTTTGGTATATCTCCTGATTTTGTTGAAATGGAACAGTCACATATTATCTCTTTCTATAATATTACTTGACAATTTGGATGGTGAGGAATTGTAAGGCCAGTGTACTTTTTTTTCTTATTCTGTTCCTTTTAATATCAGTTCTTCTAATATTCAATTTACAAATGAAAAGGGAAAGGAAATTTTTTTTATTAGAACATAGTGTAATTGCATGGACATATCCAGAATGTTTTTTTTATAGCTTATCCATTTTGTATTTCTGTGTTATAGATCGAAAATATGAGTCATTAATTCTTCCTATTTTTGGTATATCTGTACCTTTCCATATTTCAACCATTAAGAATATATCTCAGTCAGTTGAAGGTGACTACACCTACTTGAGAATAAATTTTTTTCATCCTGGTGCAATGATGGGAAGAAATGAAGGAGGCACCTATCCTCAACCTGATGCAACTTTTATGAAAGAAGTGTGAGTATTAAGTGAAAATGTTTGTCTACTTAGTAATAAACATTCCTTACATTGTTGTGAATGTGCTGTTAAGGTAAAACATCATTATCTTGGCCATTAATGAAATCAAAATTTTAGTTTTATGAAATTATTTTCTAGTCTCCTTCAAGTTAGTTATGGGTTAAACTGTATTTACGTTAATAAAAAACTTCTTTCTTTTTTCCCCTAAATAACTCACTATTTTATCAACAAAATTATGAAGTTGTCCAATATTCACAGATTTTATCTGCTTTAATTCCGAGTCATTGAGTGTGTCATACATTGTGACATAAGCTGTACTCTTTATATAACTTTTTCTCTACAACGGTAAAACAGGCCCCTTTATTGGTATGCCACATTCAAAATTGTACAAGAGAAATTTATCACCCATGTTTGTCAACAAAAAAGTGCTTATTCATGGTGACATGCAGTTCAGTTTGGGGGAGGGGGGGGGGACATTTCAGTAATGAGTGTTTTGTTGAATATTCTCTATTTATAAAGAAATATATGATGGAGCCGGGTACAGCGAAGCAGTGACATTCCTTACTGTTTTGTTAAAAAACATTCTGCGGAAAATTTCATTAAATTTGTGCATTACAACGACCTGTAATTTGAAAAGTGAGACAGAAAAGACAAAAACACTTTTTATTACTTGTTAAAACTTCCTTTGAAACACTATTAGACATGATGTATACTTTCTGTAATTGCATAATCTTGTTTAAGGGTTTACTTCTATTAACAGCTATTTGGTAGGAGAACTGTTAATTAAGACTAGTTTCTCTGTACTTTCTGAATTATTATTATTATTATTATTATTATTATTATTATTATTATTATTAATATTATTAATTATTGCCTCAGATTTTTAGGTAAACATTTGTTATTGGAAATTTGCAGCGTTTGAAGGGTCATTCAATTGTAGTCTGTGATTTTCTTTTTCACTTAAAACATAGTTTTTACTTGCAATATACAAAATGAAAGTTTCTTTGGAAATACGGAAATGTCAGGTAGTAGGTCAGGAAAAGTCTGCAGAAAAGGCTTGCAAAGTTTGTATACTGTTCAATGACTGGAATTCTCAACACTTAAGGTATTGCTTGGTGTTTATTTAGAAAATATAATTTAATTAAATATATTCAAAGATCCTTATTCAAAAATAATTTCATCCTAGACATAGTGTTATTGACTTGTGTGTAAATGACACGGCTATTTGTTTAATTATCCCTGAATATAATTAATTTATATTTCTTGATTGAATAGAAAGTTGTACTTTCCACAATGCTGAGTATGTGTATTCCAATTTTCATTCATGTATTTGTGTCTGACATGCGATTATTTTGTATATTCTCCTTCTGCAGGACTTACCGGAGTACAAATGTGAAAGAACCTGGAGAACTGTCTGCGCCTTCTTCCAATTTGAATACAGCCTTTCGGTTGATCAAAGAAGTGCAGAAGAAATACAGAAGCAGAGAAGCTGAGGAACGGGAGAAGGAAGATTTGGTGAAACAAGATAGCTTAGTTTTGTCACAAAACAAGGGAAACCCAAAACTGAAGGATCTTTATATTCGGCCTAACATTGTTGCAAAAAGAATGACAGGTAAGTAGAGAAAAAGGTTTGCTGAGGAAAACTAATTTTCTAGTATGACAAATTATTTTTTATGTTCATTTTATTGTATATTCTGAAAAAACTCAAAACTGGTTGAGGATTATTATTATTATTGATTTTCTTGTGGGACAAATAAGTTTGTTAATTTTGTTTGTAAATGTACCTAATTGATTAGACACAGACCTAAAGGTCTCATGTACGGTCTGTTAAGTCTTTCTAAAATTGAAATTGCAATTAGACATTTGTTAGATGATATAGATTAGCTAACATTTTAAATTCGAAGAAATTGTACTTAAGTATATTGCTATTCCATGGTTAAAAGTGGTTTGAGACAGTTCTTAACTCCATCAGTTTTGTGTATGTGATAATTTTGTTTCAAAGTTGACTCTTACAGAAATAAATTGAGGAATTTCTCTTTTTTTGTAGGATGTCTGGAAGCTCATGTAAATGGGTTTCGATATACTTCTGTCAGAGGAGATAAGGTTGATATTTTATACAACAATATAAAAAATGCATTTTTTCAACCTTGTGATGGAGAAATGATTATTCTTCTTCACTTCCATCTGAAGGTTAGTCAATTTGAAGAAAGCAAGCTTCAGAGCCAATAAGTTGTTTTGAAAGATAAAAATTGCCTGCTTATGTGTTGTGACATATTAGTAACTAATTTTTTTCTTAAACAGCACGGTATTATGTTTGGCACCAAAAAACAAAAACATGAAGATGTGCAATTTTATACTGAAGTGGGAGAAATTACTACTGATCTGGGCAAACATCAGCATATGCATGATCGTGATGATCTGGCTGCTGAACAGTCTGAGAGAGAACTTCGACATAAGTTAAAGAGTGCTTTTAAAAGCTTCTGTGAGAAGGTAAAAATTTAATGTCTCGTAGAAATCTTTCTGTTGATTATAATCAATCACATTTACGTGTTAACCTGATTATAAGATGAAAGTGTGTGTGGTTTTTGATGTAAATAGCTCGTTTGCAAATATTGGGTCATCTTGTATTCTCAGATTAAGCGTAATTGGTTGGGATCAATTTCAACAATACCTATCCATGTAAAGAAACTAAAGCTAACATAACAATAGGATGCAAAAGTGTTAAATATCTAAAAAAAATACTATATCTAACGTGCCTAATTATATTCATAGAATTTAAAGGAATATGTTGTCATCTATTATCACATTCATATTAAAAATTTTCTGTCCTGTCTTCAAAACATACCCATTAATATTATTTTTAATTTTATTTTGTTTAAAGTTTTGACCCTTTTTGGGTCTTTTTCAAATTCATATTTCATATCTAGAATTGTATAAAGACTTAGTCAAAACATTTTAAACTATTGATTAGCATATCAAACAAAAATTGGTGAGATTAGAATTTGTTAGAATAAAAAAAACTGTGGGTGTTTTTATGTTAACATGTTGAAATCTCCTGGCCAAGGTATTGGCATTGAAAGGGAATGCAATGTGAAACTGAATATAAATGCCAAGTTTTAAATAAATCATGGGACACTGATTGGAGAAGGAGCACAAACTCAGAGTTTGTTGCTCAGCGAGTGAGAATTTGCGTTTTGTAAGGGATTCAAATGAAAAATTTAATTGTTATCCAACCCCAAAACCTATATTTGACCCCAATGACAGAATTTTAAAAAATCGTAGCCTAAAGTTCCCAAACTTGGTGACTTAGCTCGCACCTGTGCCACCTGCAGAATGAATACATGTAGGGTTGCATAGGTTTGAACACATGTAGGTTTGCATTTCCCAACTGATTTATGTGAATTTAAAGTTAATTGTTGATAAAAAATCAGTAGCTACAAACAAGTGTGTGCCTAGAAAACATCTCGTAAATAATGTTAGCACCAGATGAGACTAAGAACGCAAATTCTGTGTGCAATACTTCCAGGGGACTAAAATGTCAGAAGACAACATAGTGCCGGTAGGACCAAAGACAAAGAAAAAAGTGGTATGAAGAATGGTAGTAACAAAAATTATTTTTTTAGGAACAAGGAAATAGTGGTAGCTCAGGCAAAAAGATTTAAACTTCTCATCAAGACAGTTTTGTAGTCAGTCATTGTGTAATTTTATTAACACTAAATAGTAAAAATTTAGAAAATTCTTACTAATAGTTAAAAATGAAAGTCTCAAGAGGTCTCTTTAAAATTAGGGGGTCATCTTATTTTCAGAATCCTCTTATATTTGTGTGAATATAGTATTTATTTTTGTCCTTGTTAGAGTTAGTGCTTTCCTTTTCTGCAAAAATTTAAAAGTAAGCATTATTATAAGAGCGTTTTATACTTTAATACCTGGTGCATTTTAAACCAAATGAAGCTGCAATTTGTAATGTGAATTTTATGAATTGTGTGATAGTTATATTAATTACTTATTTCCTTGAATGTAGGTTGAGGCAATGACAAAGCAAGAAATAGAATTTGATACACCATTCAGAGAGTTGGGATTTCCTGGTGCTCCATCAAGAAGTACAGTTTTGCTTCAACCAACTAGTGGATGTTTAGTCCATCTGACAGAGTGGGTGAGTAAAGTGTTGCAAATCTGCAGTAAATATTATAGTTTTGCAAAATCATATGCCAAAATTTTATTTATTACTATAATTTTGTACTGCAAATTCAATATATTGTTTGACTTGTAATTAAAATTGATTAAGTATTTTTATTTGATTGTGTAAGAGACTAGCTTACTGATAATTTCTAACTAAAATAAATAATTTGCTTTTCCTCTTTTCAGTTAATTTTTATTAACCGTAAAGAACACATTTTCCACTAGTAGGCAGTGATTTCCATTCTCCATTCTTATTTTGAATTTTGTGTTATAAAATAGAAAAACATATATTAAAATAGTTTATGAATAAGTTATAAATAACTCGAGACCATGACTGCATACATGCATTTGGCATCATTGATGTAAAAGTTGAAATTCTCACATTACACTATTTTTTAAATAAAATTAAGTTAATCGAACTTGTTATACACCAATTAGATAATCATAGAATCACAATAAAGGCAACTGTGTAATACAAAATATCCAAATGAATAATAACATTAGCCAAATTGTTTCCATTTTCAGAAGCGTTTTTAGCACTTCTCCTGCAGTCAACTTGAAATTCTCTTGAAAGGCTTTTCATAAAATGCTTGAACTGCCACACACTAAATCTATACAGAAACTCACACTGTCAAAATTTGCAACTTTTAGCAGTTATTTATTTGCAATCCTATGAAAATACTTTTTTCATCTCATTTCCTTCTCAAAAACAAAATCCTCTACCATTTTTCTTCATGGCATTTTGTGTATCCAGTCGAGAAAGAATGTAATCTTTAGAGCCCAGAGGTTTGGCTAAATACGTATTTATTTTTACAATTTTATTATTTTTAATAATAGGAATCAGTTAATTACACTTTTAAAGATGTTTTGGTAGATTTTTCTTTCTTTTTCTCTTTTCTTTCTTCTTCTTTCTTTCTTTGTTTCTTTCTTTTTACTTCTTCCTATTTAGCTTATGGTGCTTATTTTACCATTTCACCTTATTTTTAACTTTTTCGGTCCTTTTCATCATTTTGCTTTTTCTCCTGACACAAATCTCAAGCTTGAAACTTATCTGCAAGCCTGGACAACACGAAAGTACAATCGTATTTGTCTTTCTTTGGAAGCTGAGGCTCAAGAATGAAATAATGTAATCTCGTGTGTTGTCTATTTTATTTACTATAAGTATTTTTATGTATCTACTAATCGTATTTACTTTCTTTACTCTATATATAATATTATTATATAATATATATATACACACACTCTCCCCCTCTTCTTCCTCCTCCCCCCTCTACTCTCCTCCCTCCCTCCTCACTCCTCCTCCTCCCTCTCCTCCTCTCTCTCCTCCCTCTCTCTCCTCTCCCTCACCTCTCCCTTCCATCTCTCTCCCTCCTCTCTCCTCTCATCCCCGTCCCCTCTCTCCTCTTCCCCTCCTCCCTCTCTCCCTCTCACCCCTCTCCCTCTCTCTCTTCCCTCGTCACCCTCTCCTCCTCTCTCTTCTCTCTCCTTACCTCTCCTCACTCTCTCCCTCTCCCCTCCTTGTCCATCCCCTCTTCCTTTGTCATCCCCTCCTCCCCCTCCCTGTCCTTACCCTCTTCCTCTCTCCCTCCCCTCCTCTCTCCTCCCCTCCTCTCTCCTCCCCTCCTCTCTCCCTCCTTCTCTCCTCCCCCTCCTCTTCCTCCCCTCCTGCTCTCTCCCCTCCTCTCTCTCCCTCCTCCTCTCTCCTCCCCTCCTCCTTCCATCCCCTCCTCTCTCCCTCCCTCATCTCTGCTCCCCTCTCTCTCCCTCCTCTCTCCTCCCCTCCCTCTCTATCCCCCTCCTCTCCCCCCTCTCTCCCTCTCTGCTCCCCCCTCTCTCCCACCTCTCTCCTCTTTCCCCTTTCCATCTCTCTCTTGTCTCTCATACTCTTGTCAGTGTTGGAGTTGATACAAGTGTGAAGGACGAAATACATAATTCAATTTTCAAACACATTCCCAAACAAAGAAATGATCATTTCCTTAGATTTAAGTAGGAATGCAAATTTCAGAGTTAAAAAATATGAATCATTTGAATTGTTGATTTTCTTATAATAATTCTTTTGAAATGTGATTTTTTATTGTTTACATTACTTTTTGCACCCCTACTTCAGAGAGCGTAATGGCCTTTTCACAAGCGTATTGTAGTAAAAATAAATGCCTTTTTGTCTACCTATTTTAGATTACATTAGTGCTTTAACTTCCAGGAAAAGTAGTAATCACCTTCTAATTAATTTTTTTATCCTGAATCTTGTCTAGAATAGTTTTCATGTTATTATAGGTCTCCATTAGTATGGGCAAGTGGAATTAGAATTGTTCTAATTGCAATTTTAAGAGTTACATATCAGTCATTTCAATGCTTGGCAAACCCTTAGGGTTGAGGGTCAGCATTGAAGACATTGCAAAATAATTGGAGTAAATGTTTATGTTTACAATTTAAATGTATTTGGCAATGCAGGGTGGCCATAAGTCAGTAGACAGTAACGGCATTTATGTATTCGTTAGCAATATTTCTTCCTTTACTTTGAATGAAACATAAATCAGTTGGAAAAATTTGCAACATACAAATTTTATGCTATTTAGGTACTAGTATGCAAACCAAATGAGTTTCTAAATACCACACATGCCAATTGACTTATGGGTCAATGGATATTACAATTGATAATTGTTTTTGTGTGTGTTTGTTGTACAAAAAAGATGATTTGTGGCAAAAAGGAAGTCCTTGCCTCCGTTTGTTCGCCCATCCCTAGTCAACACAACCGCCTAAACTGTGAAGCGTCAACTACATTTTCAAAATGTTCTTAAAAATTGCTGCAAATTTTTTGGTTTTATTTTTCCTTAGATTGAACAAAGGTCACAGGACTCATTTCCATTAAACTCTGGATTTTTAAAAAGTTAAAAAAATGTTCAGTGTCTTGCTACAAAATTCATTTTATTCAAGCAAAATAATTGCCCAATAATGACAAGTATTTCTGAAAATGCCCCTGAAAGACCAGCTTCAGCAAAAGAAGCACAGGAAATTGGAATTTGCATTTATAAAGATTTGCAAAATGTATGCAAAACTTCTAGGAAAAAAAAAAGTCTACTACTGTATTTCAAGTTCTAATTTTAAAGAACAGATTTCATTAACTAAACATCATTATTGTAGTTTTGCATTATACATTTTTTTGGGTTTTACCAATATTGTAGTTTTGGTTTGTTAAAGTTGTTATATAGTTTGTTAATTTATTGTATTTTCCCAATATTAATCAATATTATAGTTTTTTAATTTGTTGTAGTTAATTTTTTGCAAGTTTCAAACATTCACTAAAACAAAAAGTATCGTGGCTTCACAATTTGAATTTGTTGAAATATCACAGTTTTTTCCCTCAGCATTAAAATACCTTCTCTATACTACACGAGTACTAAGCATACGAGAAAATGCTAAAAATGTTATGTCTAATAAACTAAAAGTTATGGCACAATTTTGAAAATGGATTCATTGTTTGAAAATACATTAGAATCAACTAAAATTATGTTTGTGGCAAAATATGTTGACTAGTTTAACAATGTTTGTAGGTGTTCTAAATTTGATTTAATATTTTATTATTGAAATTATTTGTAAGTTACTTTGGTCACAACAGCATCATCTGAAATTAAAATTTCATGATTGGTTGAGTGAACATTAATTTAATTGAACTGATGTAATCAATTGTGTGTTTTTGATTGTGTTTTGCTTTGTGTGTGTAGCCTCCTTTTGTGATCACATTGGAAGATGTTGAACTGGTACACTTTGAGCGTGTGCAGTTCCACTTGAAGAACTTTGACATGATCTTTGTGTTCAGAGATTACCATCGCAAAGTGGCCACATTGAATGCAATTCCTATGAACATGCTGGACCATGTCAAGGAATGGCTTAAGTGAGTGAACTGTACTTAGCTGCTTTACTAAACCTGCCATGAACAATCCATAAAACATTTTGGTAACATGCCTTCAAATTATGTTAATGCTTTTATGTTACTTCATTGTTTGTGGAGATCTGGCATTCTATTTTTTTCTTTTTACTCTTTGAGATATAAAATATTTTATCTAACTGTTCCACTATTATTATTAAGTATATTATTAATTATAAAATCTAAAATTTATAATATATAATATATTATTAATGGTAATATTCACAGCTCTTGTGACATTCGATATACTGAAGGTATACAGTCATTGAACTGGACCAAGATTATGAAGACCATTACTGATGATCCAGAAGGTTTCTTTGAAAGTGGTGGGTGGACATTTTTGGATCCTGAAAGTGATGAAGAGAATGAAGAATTAGGAGAGGAAGAAGAGGAAGAGGATGAAGCCTATGAGGTTGGTCTCAGCTATGCGTAAGGAGTGTGGAATTAAAAGGAAAGTAGTTTGTCTTTCTCACAATTGTCTTGTTCTACAGCCAACAGACTTGGAATCAGAGGACGAGGATTCAGAAGACTCAGAATACTCAGAATATTCAGAAGATAGTGAAAGTGAAGGTACATTTTTGACAGTCAAATGAAAAAATATATTTATTGTAGGTATTAAAAATTTTGACAGAAACACCAGAACAAACTTTCATGAAAGAAACTAAAAGTTCAACTAATATCAGTTCTTGATATGTGTGCCATGAAAGAACGTGAAATATTTGAAATCATATGCAACATTTGAGTATTGTTCCTATATTACAAACATTACCGTTCCTATATTACAAACAAATTATTAGAAACTTAAATGCCAAGTGGAATAGGCCTCGTAAACATAAATTCGCAGAATTAATTAAAAATTTCTGACAAAACACCCTGTATTGGGGGTGGACATTATTTAATGGAACTGGGGAAATACAAACAACATTTTGTTAATTTATTGTAAACAAAAAAAAATCATAGAGTGAAAAGGTTAAAAGTTTTAAAAAAATCATTTTTAAGGACACCAGAAATATTTGTTAATGGATTAATTTTTTATATTTGCAGAAGAGGAATTGGGCTCTTCAGAAGAGTCTGGGAAGGACTGGTCAGACTTGGAAAGGGAAGCTGCGGAAGCAGACAAGGAACTCACCAATTTTGAGGATGAGTATGCAAATTCCAAGAAGGGAGGGAAAAAGCCTGAGAGCTTTAATAACCGCTCGCCCAGCAAGCACAAATCTGACAAATCTGCCAAGTGAGTGTGAGCGTGTCCTTACTGACAGCACATGCATGGTATAGCAGTCATAATGTCATGATTTTTTATTTTGTTTTTTTCAAATTAAATAGTAAAAGGAATGAATCAAAATTCAATTTTTGTCCACTATAAATTATTCTTGAATCTATATTTATTATTGTATTCATATTTGATGTTTCAGTATGTTCCTAAATTTTTCAACTATAATTGTTTAGAACATGTGCACCTCCTGAATATGAAATAATTTTGTTGCTTCTTGGTGTCTTGGATATCTATGTAGTCTAATTTTATTTTTATGCTGTCTACAGCTTCCCTGCAGCTTTCTGTGCAGCTAAAATGTAAAGTGAATATTCCACATTCTTAGCAGTTAAAAAGTGATTCGATAACACTCGTTTGGCTGGCTCTGCATTTCAGACTTTTATTCTATTGTATAATTAGGTTTGGAAATCTGAAATTTAGAATAATACTTCTGCATGTGTCACTTGCATCAATACTATACTTTTATTTTTGGAAAAGTGTTTCAATCAGCATGGTTTAAAAAAAATTACTTTACAATTATTGTTATATTTTAGTGCTAATACTTGAGAGCTTTTTCATTTTCAGGAGGGTTTTTTTCTGGGCCAGTGGGTATAATCTCTTGCTGTAGTTAATTTATATAATAGTATTATGTTGGTGGTGGTAAAATATTAAAACACTGAATTACCATAAGTTAAGATATTCTACAATTGAAAATGGAAGAAAAGCTGAATTAGTTCTGACCGAAAGTTCTGCATGCAGCTGCAGTATATTAATCGATGTAGTTGCATGCATGTTGTTGTACTAAAGAGAATGTGAAACTCAGGTGGGAAGTGCATGTTGCATTTAGCTCCATTCATTTTAAAAAAATCAATAGTTGCATTTACCTAAGTATGATTTATATTTAATTTCTTGTAAATTAATAACTGAAAATATTTTTTATAGTAAAAACTAATTTATGAATGACTAATTTTCAGTGTTAAGCTACAATAAATATATAAGTGCTTAATGTTTATTGTAGAAACTTCTGTGAAATAAAAAAGTTCTAATAATTGCATTTATTTCGTTTCTTTTACAGAAATTCATCCAAACACAAGCACAGCTCCAATCATAAAGATTCCCACAAAAGCAAATCTAATGATAAACACAGGTGAGTGAATTATATTTTATTGTGTCATTTTTAGTACAGGAATATGAATTTTAGATTTGATTTATGTCATAATGTTGACTGATTGTCTGGTCAAGCAGAAAATTGTGCAATGGCTATTTCCTGGTTTTAAATACAAGCCTCAAAGACTATTAATGATTGTCACACTTGCCATTCCTGAGGTTTGTCACTGTCATAACTCTAGGTAGTTGAAGTCTGTTGTCATTTAAGTATTGGAAAATTAGAGAACATTAAAGGAGGAGAGCCAGTGGAATGAGGCTTTGTATTTTCATATTGTGGTGCCAGACATCCTTGTGTATTGATTGAATAATTGTGAATATTAGGAAATACATAATGTACTCTTTGTGTGTGTTTCTCTCAGGCCATCCCATGGCCCTGGAAAGAAAAAAGAATCACAGTCATCACATAAACACAGGTTAGATTTTTAATACATCTGTGTTTATTTTTCATTTTGTGTGCTATATCTGCAAATTGTTGAAATTTCAACTTTTTTGCTAATTATTTTTCAGATTGGCTTGAAATTTAACTGCTTATAAACTTTGCATGTCTTTTGTTCTCTTTAGTGGTTGATTTATTTTAATGCTTATTACTATCTAAAATAATTTACCTTGGAATGGATGTTGGTTTCACTTATCATTTCATGTGGTATTGTTATATTCTCTTTAGGAATGCAAGTACACAAGTTACAATTGCTGGCATTTAAATTATGCAGTATATTAGAATATCCCTGGCATTTAAATGTTTTTGAAATCTGTTCAATGGGTAACCAGATAAACATATTTCATTCTATAGAGTTAAAATAGTTTCATTTTATCAGTCAGTAAGTGGGCAACCTATTATTCCAAATCATCTCAATTTTTGAATTAATGTGAAGTGATTAAATAAAATGTTTTATTGAAATCAGTATACATTGTGACGTCATAGGAAAGAATGAACACACACATGAAGTGATGATATTTACATTGATGTATTTACAAACTTTTTACTGTTAACATGTATGTACAATAAGACAACACTGAGGCAAAATCACTTCTCTGAACCGCCTACCTGTGACTGCCTAAGTTCTGCCTGGTAATAGATATAACTAGACCCCAATATGCACGCATTACCAAGCCGCCGCGAACTTGCAAGACCTAGCCCACTTGGCTCAGCTGAGGCCTGTTTGGGTGATAACATGCCATAGCACATGGAGATGCCACTAGTCTGAAGACATTCCAATGCAATCCCTTGTGAGGGCGCATTCTCCTATGAATGTGTCCCACGAATATTCATGGGTCATAGGTCACCCACGTTCCTCTCGTCTAGCTGAGTGGCCTATGTGCAAATCTTGAGGTTTGCTGGTCAGCCCTATGATGCCAGAGATGCATTTTAGCCTGTACTACTCCACCTTATGGCGTACATGTATTTTAGAAAAAGTTTTATTCTTCTAAATATAGCTTCGCTTAAAATACAAAATAGTAGTGGTGGCTAGAAAGGAGTAATATAGACTGTAACATTTTTATATTAGGTATCAGAAGTCATAGAAAATTCTGTGAATAAAATGTCAACTTGTTTGCCTTCGACTAATGCTATTGATAAGTATTTTTAGCTTCATAATTGTACATTGAGCAGTAAAATTAATGCTGTTTTTTAATGTTGATTAATTAACATGAAGTTCTCGTTGCATTCATCTTCAGCTCCTTCTGTGCATTCTAATTTATGACATCAATCTTCTATGCAACTTCCAGGAAATGAAAAGTTTTAGCAAACAGAAAAATATCTCATGATGCTATAAATATCGGGCTTCATTGAGGACTTCAATTCAGTGCGTGTGTGTGCTTGCGTACTTGCATGTTTGTTTGTTTGTTTGTTTTGTTTTTCCACAGAAAATGTTATTGTGATTTCTGTGGGTGACCAACTTGACAACTTTTTGTGTATGTGTGTTAAACATGACTGTTTAAGTAATCAGTTCTATATCTTTGGCACAAAGTACACAAAAGTGACAATCTATTCTGTATCGAATGTGTATATATTCACAATTCTTTCAGAGTAACTGTGGGCTATTCTTGCTGGTATTTTTGGTCTGTTCCCCACATGAGAGGTTATCAGTACATTTTAAATGTTTTAAAAATGAAATTTTGTTAAAATTTTTATTCTCGGTCTTCGATTTTTATTAACAACACACAACAAACCACCATCACCACCACTTTTATTGTATGTTAAAGTATATCATTATTATTTCTGATGTTTTAACTTTTTTTATTAATCTGTTTGTGGTCATTGTTTTATTGCTTTCAGTGGGGGTTCTCACTGTATTTCACACATGCACCCTTTTACTGAATTAATAATTTTTTTTTTTAAAGCTTTGTAGTTGTAGTTGTTTTTTCGCCTTGACTTGACTTTCCTTGCCATGCCATGCCTCGCCTCGCCTTGCCTCTTGAAAATGTTAGTAGTTTCTTTCATTTAAATAATTGGTTATTGATGGAGAGTGAGTGTATTTGAATGCATTTGTGCACACGTTTGTGGCTGTGTGTGTGGTGGCACATGTCTCTGAAATAGAATTAGTATATCATTGTGGTGTTTGATGTAAAAATACAAAAGACATGAATGGATTGTGTGTTTCTTCCATTTTCTAAAATGTGGAAAATGCAAAGCAAGAGCATGAACAATATTAAAAATTTTTCCACTAGAATTCTGGGGTAAGTACGTAATGACCGCAGCTACTTTGAGTTTTAATATCTATTTTAAAATGACAATGTAACATAAGAAGAAAGAGAAAGCATATTATTTATTTGAATTCCACAATGGGAATTGTTGGTAGTTTGATATTTTTTGTTACAATGTGTGTGGTAACATTTTTTAGATATTGCTGAATGTAAATGTGTGCAAAATATATAGGGCAAATTAAGTTATGATATAATTTGTGAATGGTTATTATGAAATATTTAAGTGTTTCTGCAAAACAGAAAATGCAAATTTTTATGCCAATTGACTTCTTTTTCCTGTCTCCTTTGTGTATGCAGCAACCTTTTTCAGCAAAAGGAAAACTTCAAAATCTAAATTTTGTGAATATACATACTATTTATGATTCCCCTTTCTTAAGTTTCCACTCTATACAGGCATACAAATTTGACATTATGAATTACAGAATAATGTTAATAATAGTAGTAGTAGTAATAATAATAATAATAATAATAATAATAAATATTATTATTATAATAAAAATTAGTTTAAATGCAATATTGTATTATTACTTCAAATTAATATAACATTAACTTTCTTATTATGTAATGTAACTAGCCTTGTATGAAGAAGCCAGTAGTCCATTCCTCTACAATTTTATGTAATTTTCAACCTAGCATCGTATATTTAAACCAAACTTCATAATTATGCCTTCTTTTTTTTTAATAATAGAAATTACTTTACAATTTTTAATTTTTATGTTCAGTACTTTGAATTACAGCCTTCCTAATATTGTGAATCAATGTAGTATTTTTTTGCACAGTCACCACCACCTAATATGCAATATTTTAAATTACCATTGTATCAAATATTCTAAGGCAGCTTGGAAGTATTTATATCTCTTGATCTTATACATGTCTCAGCTTGCGCGTGATCTGGGCTGTCCGGGTGACGCCGCGTCGAAGGCTGTGGTCTTGTTGGTCTTCCTCAGGGCTGGTACGACCTGCCCTGCTTACCAGCCCTGAGGAAGACCGAGACAAGATGGTCAAAACGTTGGCAGCACAACCTTCGACGCGGCGTCACCCGGACAGCCTAGATCACGCACATGACTGGCTGCAGAAGCTTACGACTTCATGTCTCACCTTGTAATTTGGATGTCAGTTTTTTCATAAAACAATGCCTTTATTCTTTTTTATTGTTACAAAAATTGCTCAATTTATGTATCATTAAAATAAACTATGCTAGAATGCATCATGTTTTTACTGTAAGTTGCAAAAAATCAGATGTCATGAACCTGTTGCAATAAATTCAACTCTGCTGGCACATAATTGGTCAGTATTGTCAATTTCTAACAATCCCTGGTTTAAAAAATATTTTAATTGATAGAGACGTATACTTTAAAGTTTTTACACATCTGTAAAGTAATTTTTAGTTGATGGCCTTTCAAGAAAATATGAATTAGTGAGGTTGAGTTGTCTTCTCGATTTAAGTTGGAACCCTGTGAATTGAGAGTTAGATTGTAATGACTATATGATTTTGAAATTAAGTGCTCTTGCTTTAAAAATACTTTTTTTTTTCTTGACGCAAATATATTTAAATTTTGCCGATCTCCAATAATCCATGTTGGTTAATCTTGCTAGACTTCTGTGATAAGCATGACTAAAATTGTTGGCGAAAGCAGACCAATAAATTGATAGAAACAATTTTGATTTTGGTTCCCTGCATTTCATAAGCTCTTCTTTTTTTAGCAGTAGTTCATCAAAAAGTAAGCACAGTGACAAGCGCAATGACAAGCACAGTAGCAGACACAGTGACAAACATAGCAGTAAACATGATAAATCAAGCAGCAGTAGTAGCAAGAAACGTTCTCGGGAAGACAGTGAAAGTAAAGATTCTCGTCACAAGAAAAAGTAAGTAGCCATTTTTGTTTATCATTTTTCTTTTGAAGGATATGTCATAAATATTGCAAAAGTAAATAACTAATTCAAACCAAAATAACAACTCATTCAAAAATGAGTTTTGAGAAGTGCCAGATTAGTTCCTAGCAAAAGGAGAAACAATTTTTTAGGCAGGGAGAATCAAGATATTAAAAAATTAAGATTTAATTGAAGAGGTGTATGAAAAAAGAGTTTTGAATCTCCTATTTTAATCGGGATTAAAATATATGGGAATATCCCTAATATAATCGGGATATTCCCAGATGATGATAGTTGAATAGTTGACATATTTTGAGGAAAAAGATAGACCAGTTTGTCATTGAGCACTAAACTTGCCTCACTATAGCAATTACTAGCAGTAAATTTTGTGAGGTAATATTTTCTGCTAGTAATTGTGGTTATTAATTATTTCCTTTGTGAAATTTTTTCCACAAAAATAAAAAAGAAATGGTCCCTGTCTTACGAAGTTGTTGGAAAATGGGAATTGCTTTGATGTAGAAATCCTTGTATTGTGCCAATTATTCTGTCCAAAAGTGTTTTTGAAAATGTAATTCGTAAATTTGAATGAAGCTTTGTGAAATCTTCTTAGTTGCTTAATAGATGTATTAATTAGTAGACATTTTTCTTATTAATGAATATATATCATGTTCATAATATTCGTAATATAATTATGTTGACATGGATCCTTATAAAATTGTTTTCAGGAAATAAGAATATAGAATTTGCAAGACATTGAAAATCATTCCATCTCAGCACAGCACATTTGCATCCCATCTATATCAATTTTTCTCTCAGAGCAACATGCAGGTGTTCATTGTGAATACTATACTGACTACAGGTTTTGTGATGTGCAAGATTAGTTGTAATAGGCACAAAAGAAGTCAAGTCCTTGAATGTTTTCTGTTGTATGGAGTGACTTCAGTGTTTATTGTGGTTGATTGAAGCACAAGGTGCATCACATGTACTCATTGAGGCATTTTCATTGCCTAGTTGAATCTTGTGAAATGAAGAGATTTTCTTGGGAGTAAGTGAATCTAGGAAGGTGATTTAAGAATTTCCCAGGATCAAGAGGAGGTCCATACTGTTTTTCACAGTTGTGAGATACATTTTCTGTACTTCATAATAGCAGGCATTGTAGATGCCTTGCTGAACATTGCTAGTGTTGCTTTAACTAAGTATTATATTTTTATGGGCTTCGAAGATTCCAGTATGTAGTACCAAAAGTTGTTTTGGAAGAAACTTTTTATGTCATACCAGGTGATTATTTTGAATTTTAAGTGTCTCTCTCTGTAAACTCTATATATATGTAATATTTTTACAGGAAGTTATTTAAATGTTAATTGTTCCAGTCTTTTTTTTTTTTCTACAAATACAATTCAATAAATCCACCGAAGCAAATCTTCAATTTTTTAGTTTTATTAATATACCATGAAATGTCCCTTCATATTTTTGATGGCACTTGCAGTAGTGAAATGTGTTTTACAGTAATTATAAACTGACCCTTTGTGAGACAACGTTATTTAAGCAACATCAGGATAACCAGCCTAATGTATGTTCTCCATTGCTTATTCACCAGTGAATATTTTACCAGATGAACTTGCTATTGTATTCTGTTAACTATTGAGATTATTTGTCAAAAATAAAATTACTGTCACATCTGATCATTCTTGATAATAAATAAAGGATGGTCAGGAGGAAGGGAAGTTAGTAAACATATTTCTTTTTGTTTCCTGTGTTTTACTGCTTATATCTGAGGCCAATGCATGAGGCTGATTTAGTTATAATTTGTAATATTGAAAAAATTTATTTTTTGGTTAATAGTAATGAAATTTTCTGTCGTCTTGAGTGGATTTTGGTTTTCAGGATGCCTTATTTGGCAGTGATAGTATATCCAATAGTAATATTTCCTTTTATTTTCCTGTTTGTGTAAAAGCATTTAAAATCTACAGTGAAAATTGTTACAATTGTCAGTGGATTTATTGAATACTTAACCCTTGTTCATAAATAGATATTACCTTCAGAAAACTTGTGAAATATAGTTAATCTTGTGTTTGGGACCATTTGATAGTATTACAATGCTGAATCAAAATTGTTTGATGTTAAATTATACTTTGGAAGCAAAAGTACAAATCAGTAAAGGAATAACTTATTTTCATAGTTTATAACTATGTGCCTGTCTTGAGAGCTAGTTTAGAGAGGAGAATCTTTAATTCTCTTGGAAAACAGGGTAAATGCTGCTGCTTGAATTAAATTTTCTTATTTGTTCAGTCAGAAATGGCATGTGGACATTCAACTTTTTGCTTTGCTGTTGACCACTTGTTAATGCAATTTACATGCTTCCAAATAATAAATACATTGGTATGTTGTTGAAACCAAAATGTTTAAACACACAAACATTGACTGCAAGTCTCACTTGATAGAAATATCATTGGAAGTTTTCTCCTAAACACATTTTTTATTGTCATTAATAAAAGTCTGCTGCTAATGAATAACAAATGTAGTGTTCTTGATGTTACATTTTTAATAAAATACGTAGTGCAACTAAAAAGAATGGTAGATGAAAACTTCTAAACACCTTAAATTTTCCTGGTCATTAGCAAGACTTCAAAATGATAGCTCCAACTGTGATTTATGATGGGATATATAATAATTCCTTTTATTAAGGGAAACATTTCATTGCTTAATGGTTAGCCTAATTTTAATTGTTAACTAGTACAAAATTAATTCTAAGAATTATTTGCTAATCTAATTAAACAAGTTTCATTTGGAAAGTGTTTATTATAAGGTGTGCCCCGTAATCTATTTTTAAAAAAGTTTATTATTTTTTTTAACCATATTATATGCTCTTTTGCAGTTCAAAAGGTCTAAGGTCAGATTCCTGCCACATTCCTGGCATTCATTAGAGTTTTCTATTATTTTAAAATCACATGGTACTTAATGTTGTGGCACAGTAACATTCAAGAGGAAAATTTGAATGGACATTATCACTTAAGTTCATGTCCTAGCAGCTACCTCCTAAATACAATGTCAATATATATGAAGAACTTAAATGAAGGAATTCAGTTTGATTTACATTCCAGAAGAACAGAAGAAGATTAATTTGTTTTGAAATGTTTCAACTGTATGTTTTATCTTAAAAATTTAAATCAAAAACATTTTGATTTTGTTTTAATGAACCATTGGGTCGCAATGTTGACATAGTATCGTGCTATCTAAATTTTCATTGTAATTGTTTTATCATAATGTTAATTAAGTGGATCAAAACATGTTCTGTCAAGGGGTTTGAAACTAATATTGTGATGAAACATGTTTGATCACATTATCACTCTACAATAATCACATTCTGAAAATCCAGTGTGTGTTTGGTTTATACATGAGTTTTTATTCTTTAAGTTGTTTAGTTCAACTTCATTTTGCATTTTTTGTTTTAGAGACAACTATTTTAAATACATTTTAGCTTATGAAACTAAGGGATCACTATGATAATTGAAGTTAGAAAATATTTAGGTTTAGTTTTATTTCTTACCAGTGTTGATAATATGTGACCAATAAAAATAATTTTGTAAGTAAAATTTCCATATCTTTGATGAAAAGAATAAAATTATTCAGTCAGTTTCCAAAACTCTTCAATGTGGTGTTATCTCTTGCTTTGAAGGAACCGAAGAAAAATTTCAGAACATTCATTCTGCATTTATTTATAATATAATTTATTATCAAAATCACTTTACACAAATATTATATTTCAGAAAAGTTATCTAGCATACAACTGAAGAGTGGTAAACTATCTCGCACTAATACAAAATCCGAGGCAGTCGCCTCGTAGCCCTCTGTGGATGTTGAGTGATAAGAAAGAAGTAATTGTTCTAGGTAAGATGTTTTCTTAGGAGGTAACTCCATGAGCTCATATGTCAGCTCAAGAAACATTTTATAAAAGTTGAAGATGATTTTGAATGTTTGTGTATTGTAGTGTTAACACACTTAAGAATAGTTATTATCTTAGTACATTGTTGTAAGTTGTGGTCCAACACCACAATTTGTAGGAAAAATATGTTATTACTTTATTTCCATATTTGTTAATTGTTTTAAGTTAAATAATTAAATGAGTCCCAAACACATTTCTTAACAGAGTGATGAAGATATTACATGTAATTATTATCTTTCTGCAATTATTCTGGGTTGTATAATCATGAATGATTGGTGCTAGATCAGTTTCATAGTCTATGAACTCTTGTAAATATATTTTTATGATTTTCCCCCTCTCTTAGTTCTGAAAGAAATATTGATGGCCCACACTTCATCAGAAAATTCATGTAATTTTATATATGTGGAAAATGTTAGTACAAAATTAAACTGTCTTTTATATTGTACTGTCTTTCTGATAAATCCATTTTATCAGAAATTGCATTTGTAAATCCCCAGTTATAATGAACAGTACATATATGCGGGAATGAACTTCAAAATGTTGCTGAGTAGTTTGTAGTTGATGGTACTTCGGGAAGGGATATACTTGTGTATTAAGTCTTTGCGTTATGCAATGCACATGTTTGTGTTGTTCATTGAAGGCTGGGGCTACCCCGCAGGCTTTGCTGGGATCAGCAAATTGAATAAAAATCTTAACTAACCATTAAAAAATGGTACGTGTTAGGTTTGGATACAGTGTTTCCTATGGAATGTTCCTAACTGTTTTGTTTCTTGTGATCAAATCCTTAGTTAGATATGGCCTCAAAAAAACTTGAAATTAGTAGAACTGTCTAGTAGTAGCCTTCAAACATATTTAAAGAAAAAATGAAGGTAACTATGTTGCCGGTGTCCCTAACATTCGTTTTTTCACTGTTTCATCCACAACAAAGAGGATATTGTATGTGTGTGATTTTACGCGGGCAGAGGAGAATTTTCCAAAGACTTTGCCAGGCCCGCACTTCGCAGCATGTGAGATTTACAGCCATCCTTTCCTACCCTCTAAAAGACCCACCCGATTCCCTTTCCGCGGAACCGCAGGCAGGCTTTGCATATCGGGAAGGGCAGATCGGCTTATCGCTCTATGCCAACTTACGTCGCGGGATACTCCTTTGCAATAGTTCTAACCGAATCTTCTTCAAATCCTTTGCGGCATAGGTGTCAACCACTTTCCAATTCGCTTGAGACACCATCCTAGAAACGATGGTATCAAGCACACATTCCGGGAGATCGGTCGGGAACTTGGAATTTGTTCCAGTTGGGACGGTGCTTCGCTAGTGGGAGATCCCTGGTTGGCGAAACTTGCTAGCCGGTGGTAGGTACGCGTCGGATTTCGCAATATAGTCGGGAAAAGGTCACCGCCATCTACGGAGCTAAACATGCACTACACTTACGGGACTAATTCCGTGTTGGCGTGCCCGGAATCTCCAAAACAATCAATGGTGGTGTCAGGAGTCACTACCTGCAGTAGGAGTCGGAGTTCTTCCCTCTCAGTGAAGTGTGGACACTGAAAAAACTATGTCTCCACATCTTCAACCAATAGGTCACAAGTTGGACGAGTGATCGTCCAACTGGAAACGGACTTGGTATGTAAGGTAGCGCACCTTCACCGTTAACAATTGGGACAAATAATGATCCACATCTCCCAGTTTCCTTTGACTCCACGTACGTCAGGAATAAGTAGGAATGTCCATCTTCCAGTGGATGAACCTTGAACCCATCAACGTTGCCACTGGGCCATTGTCACCCACATTTCTCCCTTCATGATATTTGTAATTCCCTCTCGCTTACGTCTGTAGAGACTGGCCCTTTCTTGTGCGACGAGGTCTAGGGGCATGTCGATTATCACACAGCGTCATACGAAATGCCCAGACCACCCTCTATAGGCGAACCTTCTATGCAATGACTTCGCACGCAAGGCGTACGACTAGATCCCAAAGGTATCGGCATAGAGAGTTCAGTGCTAGTCAACTGTCGGTTACTTTGTCTTGGACCTCCTACGTTAGGCATAACTCATGCCAAGGTCATGCGAGACGCTTTCTCAGGCTGCGCAAGTGCTCGTCGAAGCGCTGCCTCGCGTCAATCTGTACTAAGAATCTTAGACTGCTGATAAGTTATTTTATAACCCCCTACATTGAAAGTAATTGTCTATTTTATTCAGACGTAGCTCTACCGCCGGATCGCAATCACTACCTCACTGGGAACCTGCGTGACTACCTTAGCATATGTGCAGACCACTACCACCGCAACATCGTCAGTAAATTCAATAGTCTTAACGCCTTCCGGCAGCTGGAGTTTCGAAACGGATTCATAGATACTATTCTACAACTGGACCAAGTACCGAGCCTTGCGGAACACTGCCCGAAATACCATAGGTCTTAGCCCCGGCCTGTCTTGTAGCCTTTCCTCAGTAACTTCTGACAATGTTCATTACGTAATTCGGAACTGGTTTTTCACCACAAGAAGAATGGAACTTTACCTTGCAGTATTAATGCATTTCTGACGTCGAGGGTAACAGCGCAATACTTTTTTGCGCCTCTTCTCCATCGTTTGCTCTCAATAGCCTTACGTGCAATGTTCATCACCCTAACTGAACCCACTGTGTCTCCCCCTCTTGAAGCCATTATGATTACCGTATAGTGCCTCCGAGTTGGCTTCAATCCGATTGCAGATGATCCGCTCTAAGTAACACCTTGCCTGCGGTATCCAGTAAACGTATAGGGTCCATATGCTGACAGGTCGCTAGGTGGCTTATCGCCCTTCGGAAGGAGGACCTTCTTTGAGGGGAATGGGGAAAATTTCCCTCGCGCGCATGCGTTATATACCTTAAAGAGTAGATCTGGCCGAGCCCTAATATCTGTTTTAATAGCAACATTCTACATCCCATCCAAGCCGGGAGCATTACAACCCTGAACCTTAATGTAAACCCATGACAAACCGCCGGAATCTCGTCTAGGTCTTAAAGCGTATTCATAGTCTGGAACATACCTTTAGCGACGAAACTATCAGGTAGCAACTATCTTCTCCGAGAAGAACGGCCTAGTCGGGGGTGGCCTAAACAACCTTGAGCCCGACCATTACCATCTTATACGGCCCCAGGTCTCCCCTCGTTGTATAGCTCTCTCCAGCAGAGATCCTTGCTCATCTTAATGGCTTTGGTGAAAACTCCCTGCGGCTGTTTTTCTCCTCGAGTGTGTCAAAAGTTGGGCGACCCTACGTGTGCGGTGGCATTCTCTGCAAAGTTCCACGATCTCAGTGTACCAGTACAAGTACGGCGTTCTCTCATGGAGCTTTTCGTAATTGACGCATCACAAGCGTCAACGACCCAGTTAACCACGGTTTCCACCATGTACCAGAGTTTCCGACCAGAATAATGTGTCCCTCCATGGCAACGAATGAATAGCGATCGAACGTCCTGTGGTTTCAAGTAGCTTTCTCTTACAAGACTCAACCTACTCTTCTCCCTGACTTCATATAAAATAGCTTAGGGCTCTCTATGTGTGTATTGATCGCTAACTTCCCATGACGTAATGTGGCAAGGCTATTATACGCGAATGTCAAGTCAATGATATAGCTTCGTCTGTTCACGCAAAGATAATGAATGTTACCCATGTTGAGGTATTCGTTTAAACGGGCAAAGCTATCCGGGAGAGCCATCCCACATTGGTTCGTTATCCTGCTGCCCCACTGTGTGGTCATTGATGTCCCGAGTAGTAATAAGAGGCCTTCGTTCTCCCGCATCCATCAATCGTTCGAGTAATGCCTAGAACTCCGCAAGCGATGCACTGGGTGCGGCATAAAGACTGTATGCTTGAAATACAATTTAAAACGATGTAATGATACGTATTAGTATACAAGTGTGATATTACGATACGAGGTATTATCGTAAAGTTAACACGAGTGTATTAATACCTATTACATCGAGTTTCATACGCTACTTGACTTG